GAGCAGGACACACCTCTTAAGGTGAATCAAATAAGTAGACTAATTTGTTCTCAGTATTAGAAATTCATCTTTTGCAGGTTTGGCTCAGCAGATGAGTGTCAGCTTGCAGACTGAAGGGCTCTGGATTTGACTCCAGTCAAGGGCATGTAACTCAGTTGCAGGCTTGACCCCGGGCCCTGGTAGGAGCACATGCAAGAGACAACCAATTGACATCTCTCTCTCATAATTGACCTTGCTCTCTCTCCCCCCTTTTCCCTTCCTCTCTGAAATCAACTATATATAAAATTTGTACAAGAGGCCTTCCCTCCTCTGGTGCCCGCAGGCACCCGAGACCCAGGCTGGCTTCCCTCTGGCTCCAGCTTCGTCAGGAAGGACATCTGGAATGTCTGGTCTAATTAGCATATATAGTAATATGCTATATATGCTAATGTAGAAGAGAGTCCACAATCTGAACATCTGGCAAGAATGATCCTAACTCCGTCTACAAATCAACTTAAGGTGTCCCATAATGGGACAATGGAAGCTTATAGGAAAATCCATAGGATTCAGGCTACACTTTCTATAATGCCCACAAATTTGGGACCTGTAACTTACTTTTAACTTTTTAAAAAATATATATATATTTTATTGGTTTTACACAGAGAGGAATTGAGAGGGATAGAGAGTTAGAAACATCGACCAGCTGCCTCTTGCACACGTCCTACTGGCGATGTGCCCGCAACCAAGGTACATGCTCTTGACCAGAATCGAACCCGGGACCTTTCAGTCCACAGGCCAATGCTCTATCCACTGAGCCAAACAGGTCTCAGCTTACTTTTAACTTTTGTTCTTTATATTATCCCAAATGGGCACCCCCTCTTCTAGCCCCAGACATGGTTTGATAAGCACATCTATCTATACAGAAGTGACCTTGTGAAACCACGCATGTGAAGGGCTAGTGCAGTCGGCCTGTCCTAGCATGCCATGCGCCACTCACAGGCTCAAAGAATGTCAGCGCCAAAGTGCTGTGGCATATATTTGACATTACTGCCAAGAACGGATGTTGGCAGTTTATCATTTGCTTAATCAAAGTCCTTGAAACAAATGACACTGCTGAAGATCTCAACGGTCCCCAGGTTGTAGCACTGCCGAGAGCTCACAATGTACTAAGATATTTGCCTGATTGTTGTTCTAGAGCAGGGGTAGCAAACTATAGTCCGCATGCCAAATCTGGCTTATCTTAAAAAAAACAACCCCAAAACACACCAACTTTTTATTTTGAAATATAGATTTACAAAGTTGCAAAGATAACTGAGGCTCTGTGTACTCTTTACCTGGCCACCAATCTCTTACAAAATGCACTTTCAGGTAGGCTCCAGAAACTGTGACTCCTGGTTGTGAACACATTCCTTCATCTGCTCGCCTGCAGGAGTGAGCAGCCACCAAAGCACCCCTGACAGTTTGTTTCAATCCTACCTCTTATCCCTCAGCCTGTCAACATCAGTTCAACTCCTGTTCAGTAACAGGAAGGACAGCAGGAACCCTTACTCTGTCCCACCCCTAATCTCACTTGGGTGAGTGTTCACTACCACATAGATTCCAGGGAGTCTTATATTCCCTAACAAGGCCCAGTTCCTCTTGCAGAAAATCATGTCTCTCAGCATCCCATCCTTATTGTCAAACTGTGGGGTCTGTGACTTCCTTTTACTTCCTGTTCACAAACCAGGAAGTCAGCCTGTCACAGTTCCACGGCTGCTGACAGGACAAGGAGATCGGGGGTCAGAGGTAAAGCACTCACAGCACAGCATACAGAATGAACATCAGCACATTTGTGTCAGCTTCCTTGACCAGTTCCATAGGAGCAACATCGCAGGCCTGTTGCTACAGGCACATTTACTTAAGCACGCAGTGAGTGTGCTGCAGCTGAGCTAGGGGTCAGGACAGTGATGCCCTGAAAGCAAGCCTGTCGCTTAAGGTCTTTAGCTGCACGAATGGCCCAGGCGATTTTGTCAGGCACACCCAACAAGATGTGTCGGTGCACAGCACTGGACTGTTTTGTCCAGTAGTTATCCTTTTTATATTGTGCTTTGTTCGCTCTTTCTTTCATAAATCTCCTTCTCAGCCAGTCTGTAAACTGGTACCTCGTGCAGGATGGTCTCAGCAGGTCTATAAACTGTCCCTTGTGCAAACTGCTGGTTAAAAGGTAACATATAGCTTGCTCACAAATGTTTTCAAAGATGGAGGAAGAATAATTCCTTCAAGTTTGGCCACCACTCAGTTTGTCATCCATCTATCAGTCTTACTGGAACAGAGCCAAAGCAAGCTTTTCTGGCCATCTTTCTTTAAGAAGCATGACTACCGCAGTTCCTAAAGTAAGGACAGCCATGTCCTAGTCTAGAAAAGTCCACTTACATCTTTCTAGAAAGAAATCTACTCTTCTGAAATATAAAATGCTCACTGTAAAAAATATTAGGCACTGATTGATTACATGTAAGAATCAAACTAGTCCCATCATATTCAAAGGAATTTAACTGGAAGAAGATCAGCTTCCTGACTTAGTTAAAACAGAGTCTATAATGTAATAAGACCAAAGTGAAGTAGTTTAAGTAATAAATGTTTAATCAAAGAATTTTACATATTATTAACAGCATTCATTTGGCCAAACATCTACACGGTTGTAGAATCCTATTGTATATAAAGGGGGAATGTATCAAGTATAGACTATGAAAGTGCAAATAACAAGTCAAGGTTAGAGTAATTTTTTTTACATTATAAAATTAACGTGTTTACAAAATAGGCTTTGCCAAACTTTACTTCTGAACTGTAAAGTCAATGACTGTGTTGTTTTTAAAATATGTACCAAGGAAGTACAAACTGGATAATGATCTTTTCTCATGCTCAGGAGAGAACAGCACAGGAACAAGGCTACTCACTGCACCAGGTGCCCGGCACCGGCCTCACCAGGAACATGCACTCCCAGCCCCCACACAGCACTTCCACACTTTGCGAGACACCTCCATGGGCTACAAAGACTCTTTCTTTTGAAAATATTACAACTTGGTCTAAAAACTGATCGGTGTTGATATTTTTAATCCAAAATAAATTTGTAAAAAAATCCTTTAATGGACTATTTCAGTTTAATAGTAATACACTGTAGAAAAAAGTTAATATTTATCCCAACAAATTAATAAGGGTTGATATCAATGTTTCTGATAATTGGGGAAATAAAAACTAATGTGGACTTGTGACATCCAAAGCATAGGGACAATTCCTACATAGTTTCTTTTTAATCCCAGGAAAATCTGAGGAATATTAAATAATATAATGTCCTAGGTCACATGAATCCCAAATATAAGAATATTTCAAAAATAGGGTTTAGAAAATAAAATGTAATAAAAAAAACATAATTACAACTCATGTGGATATCAATACTAATACAACCTTTCACCCAGTTCAGGACTTGCCTGTACAAACTCAGTACTGAAATTTTGGTATCTGTAGACTTCTGGTAAAAATCTGGCAAAACATTAAATGGAGTGTTGGCTATCTACTTTGCTTATGTTATGCTAGTTTGGGTAATATGTAAGTAAAAGAGCCATTCCAACAGTTTACTCTAGTTTTAATTACACACTGTACCATTGAATCTTAATTACAACTAAGATCAGTATTTTCTTCACAGTAAGACACTGATAACCAGGAAATTGATTTTTTCAACACTGAACAGTAGTCACACAGCAAATGAGTATTGTGCAACAGAACGAACACATCAGCATTTGCTACTGAGGCAAACAAACGGACTGAACAATTATTTAGTTGTTATATTGACTGGAAAGGCAAGGCCATGGGTGGTTTATGGAGGTCTCTGCAATTCATAGCATAGTTACTTTAGAAGAGACACTGAAATTTGAATGAGTCACTTATTTAACTGGCAACTATCCATTGAGGTTAGGCAAAGGCACGGTAACATGTTGCGCAGGATGTCTTATTGGATTTTTAAATAATTGTTGGATTTACTATAACCCATAAAAACTCCACTTTTTTCTATTTTATAAAACACTTACCATTAAAAGTAATTGCACCCATTAGTAATTAGAATGCACTGTAAAATTATGAAAACAAAGAACTATGATTGCACTTTCAATAAAGTGTCTCTTAAAATACAGCACCGCTGTTGCTAATCAACTGTATTTTAATATTAAAATAAACTGTTTTTAACAGCAGCATTAGGTTTAGTTAACTTAAGCTACAGGCTACATTTGTTTAAATGCAGTCTCCATGGCAACAAAAGCCCATTAAAGCCTGGTTTTTCATGGCTACCAAGTGGCACCTTTTACTCCCGAGAATGCTGACACTGCCCTGGAGCCCTCTGGGACGCCACACCTGAACGCCTTCTCAGCGCAAGAGTCAGAGTTTGGCACAAGTGGACTGTAAGACATGAAAAGAAATTTTTGACTCATGTGGAAATGAAAACTAATTACATTATGGGAGATGCAGCACTAAAGAGAAGCTTTGGACACTGATTCACACTCCTCAAAGAGGAAGGAAGTTATGGAAGAGTGCAAAGAGATCGAGGAACTCAGGGTTACCAGATCTGTCCAAAAGAACTTCTAAAATGAAGAAAACCTTTTTTTTTTTTTTTTTTTTTTTTCGTTTTAAAGAGAAAAACCACCCAAGGATGAGGGAGTAAGCCTTTAAGTTAAATGTTCCATTTAAGTATTGCGGACCTTAGGCTAAACAGAGGACTGCGTTTTCTTAAGAGGGTGGAATCTAACCTACTTACTCCATTTGTTTTCCTTTCTCCCCTGCTCTTAAAAGGGGAAAGCTACCCAATTAAATACCAAGAAGTTTCCTGTGAGGTTAAACTCCAAAACGAAGCCACCATTCAAGGGAACTCCTCGTATTCAACCCTAATGTCAGGGGTTTAGAGCTGAGTTGGAATTAAGTGGATCCAGTTTCCATGAAGCACACTCCACCACCATGCCACCTGTACCGCGATGCGCTTGGAGCCAGAGGTGTGCAGCTCACACTAAGTGTCCTTGTTCCAGCCAGTCACTTGAGGTTTGAGGTGTTTGGCTCGAGACATCTGATCCAGCTTCCTTGCTGGTTGCCTCAGTACCACTTTCACCAGCTTGAGATGCTGCTTCCTCAGCCAGAATATTCTCTTCCAAAGGGCTTTCTTCTTCTCTTTGGGTTCCTCTACCTTCACTGACCACAGCATCTTCAAACACTGGGTCTTCTTCCGGCGGCACCAGTTCCACATCCCTCCCGCCTTCTGACCCATCTCCGCCACAGGGGGGCTGGGAATCTGCACTGCTTTCTGTAGGTGCTGGAGGAATCAGGACAATACTCTGAGGGTTCATGTCGTGAAACCAAGCCATGATATTGCCCAGAAGATTGTCACTGATGTTGGCATCCTGGCCAGCTGAGTCAGGGTCACTGGATGAGGGATACAATTCATTTCTTGCCTCACTGAGAGGGTGTGAACTCAGGGTGTCAGTTGAAAATGAGTCACTTTCTGCTCCTAATCTCAAGAGGCTGTCACCAAGTTCCAATAGTTCGGAGCTGCTCAATGCAGCCGCAGGGCTATCTGTGTTCCTGGGGCCGGAGTCCAGCCTGGAGGGTAGAGAAGTGCCTATTGCCCCTATGGAAGTGTCGCCACTGAGGAAGTCTCTGTTTCCTTCATCGATGGCCAGACCCGATTCTTGCAATGATAACTGGATTGCGAGAAGTATATTAGGATCATCTTCATCCAAGGAACTCAGAGCCTGAGGGCAACAGAAAGTAAAATCACTTAAAATTTAAAAGAAAAAATGACTTGACCCAATGAGGTTTACCATTGTCGTTTTTACCTAACAGATAATTAACATTACCTCTGTTTATATAGAAGAATTATTTTATTTACTCAAAACTTATTTTAGTTTCCATTAAAATAGAGGGAAATTAAGCTAAATCTCTTTCCCTGTAATTTTGAATGGAAGGAAGAAAAAGGAAAGCAATAAAAGTGAAATCAGGAGACCAGGCCAAACAGAGCAAGAGTGGGAGCAGGGCCAGGCCCTGCCAGGAATCTACCTGAAGAGAGTCTTGGTTCTCAGAGCGACTGGCAGGGGTGTAGTCGCGCAAGGAAGAGCTGTGTAGCACACTCATGGATGCAGAGCTGACCACGGACGTGCCCGGCCTGCGGCCACTGCCGCCTTCTGGGAGATCTGTTTCAGAGCAAGTGGTACCAGAGATAGTTCAGCCATACAGATTGCATACGTCTTCTTAGTTCAACTGGCAATTCCTCTTTCAGTGCAGGTGAAAACCTGTGTTCACACATTCACTTAATCTCCCAGAGACTTCTCATGCATATCTGTCTCACCAGAAGCAACAACATCTATCTCATGCCATTTGCTTCAAATCCATGATTATTATTTGCATTTGTGCTTGCACTACATATGGTTCTATTCAGAAAGGCCAATGCTACTCCTCTTTGTTTTCTTAAGCAACAATAAATAAAGGTGTTTTAGTTTTCAGAGTTATTTTTTAAATGCAAAGAATTTGGGAACCACAATGCCTGAAGAACAAATCTTCAGGCCTGTTGATCCTGATTTACTAAAGTTGCTCTGCTGATATTATAAAGACTTTCAATTATAATTTAACATTTAAAAGTTGATAATTAAGATAATTTATTCCTAATACCAGAAATTTTCTTTTAAAGAATGCTTATAGGAGAAGTGAGGCTAAGAGAAAAACATTCCATGAACACAGCCAACAGTACTAGCAGCTACAATTCATGAATGCTCACTAGTACTGTTCATGCCCAAGGATTTTACAAACATTATCTCATTAAAGCTCACATGTGCCTCCTAGTGGCCCTCTCAGTATTGCTTCTTTAGAATGAGAGACTGCTGCTTGGAGAAGGGTTCAGTGACTCAACTGAAGTGTCTCCCTGATAGGCAGTGGAGATGCGGTCATGAACCCAGGTCTGTCTGACTCTCTGCAGCCTGTGTTCTTAACCCCCTGGTTTTCTGTACCCTGTGACCTTAGAAGCAGCTACTTATTATTTATTTGTGTATCTAAATTACAAACTCGTTCACAATCACCTACTCAGTTTTAAGAATAAACTCAAGAGAGCTAAGAGATTAAGACATACCCAACCCAAGAACTTACCTAAAGTGCTTTCACTGGGCTCATCAGGGTCTGGAGGGTTACTGAGCAGACTGTGCAGGTCTCCTCGCCGGCGCTGCTGTCTGTGCCTCCTCCGATACTGAAATTCAGCATATTCCTGCATAAACCACAGGTTATAAAACACAGGAGAGCATGCAGCTTTTCTAATGCAAATTAAACCAGCAGCACACTTTTTCCCCCAGGAGAAAAAATGTGTGATTTTATATACATGTTATAAAATCACGTGGCTTTAGAAAAAGAAACTTCAGGTTTTGTCATGCCAAGGAAACAGGAAAGGAAAAATAAAAATTTTAAGTAGTCATTATAATTGCCTGGATAAATTGGGAATACTTGCAAACTCCAATGCCAGATTGCAACTGAGCCTTATTTCTTATTTCTGCCTGTGTCTTATTATTTAATATTATAGCTAATTCTACGTATAATGATTTTACTAATGTAAGTTAGGCTCTCCCTGGAGGTTTGGTTTTAAAAAAATGACCAGGTTAAGGGAGAAATGTGAGATTAGCTTGAAAATGAGATGGTGCTTGGTTTCCTATCTGCATCAGCTAACCTGTGGGGTTATCTCCCACAGGCAGGGGCAGAGTTTTCTATTTAATGTATGGGAAGAACACAATCCAGGCAGATGTCTCTGAGTTTATTTTCCAGATTTTAGTGACACAAGAGATGAGAGATCAGTATGTATGATACCAACATAAGAAGGCTAAATCTGAGGTTAATTATAGATTTTTTCAGTGATAAACACTAAGATACTCAGGTCTACAGTTATCCAGGTTACCCTTGAGGACTCACTATGGTTATATTGTTAAAGTACCGAACAGGTTTTATATTACAAATGAAACTTCCATATCATACCACTCTGGTTAAATTTATTTGAAGTCCTTCATTGGTATAATCTAGCTATTACATAACTAACGAAATTTGTGCAAGAGTAGGCCTTCCTTCCCCCAGCTGTCGGCACCAGCTTCCTGCTGGCACCCTGGAAGCATCTGGGACCCGGGCTTCCCTTGCAGCTTTGGCTTCGTCTATAAGGTTGTCTGGTCTAATTAGCATATTATGCTTTTATTATTATAGATAAGAGATGGCAGCAATCTTGCCAGGTTAGAAACAAAAACGTGAAAGATACAAGTGCCTGGATGGCTTATTAAGGTTCTCTGAAATTTCCTGCTGAGCTGGGATATCATCTCCTCTTTGCCTGGAGGCCCAGGATCCCAAACTGGACGCCTGTGTGTGTTAATATGGTTCACTGCCCACTGAGGCCCATCGCTTTTCTTAGACAAAGATGACATGAAACTCTTACCTCAGTACAAGACTTATACCTAGGAAGAACTTATTTACTTTGTATACTTGATAATGGCATAAAATTATTCTGAATTAAATAATCTATTAATGACCATAGAATATACATATTTCCAATTAAAGAAAATGAAAGTTTAAAAACTAAAAAGAAATTAGTTATATGTTTTTTTCTGATAGAAAACTCACATGGCATGCTCAGGATGCAATAGGCTTAAAAAAAATTGTTGTCATAAAATTAAACTTAATTGAAAATTTCTAAGGATCTCTAAGGTCTTCAAGTAAGCATAAGAAAAGGATTTAGTTGGGATACTCCAATAGGTTTGAGAGTGTTAATGCTACAAAGATTAAGAGATTGTAAGATTTACAGGGGGGAAAAACTGCTAGGGGATTTTTTTTTTTTTTAAATAATAATCCCTAGCATTTACTGAGCATCAATTTTGTCAACAACTTAAAGAGATGCTCTAATTTTGCCACAACTTCCATGGTATCACCACCCACATTTGGAAGATAACAAATTAAAGAAGAACAAAGACCAAGGTCTAGTGACTTAGAGAGCTAGACCTTGCATTTAAGTGTCCCTTAGACTTCCTGAGTTCCACTGCCTTTTTTTTTTTTTTTTTAAATCAATCTTTCCACTGCCTTTAAGGCAGCACAAAACACATATTTACTCTTGTCATTGAGTCATTCAGTTTAATTTAAAACAATTAAGGTGGAATTAACTTTACTGAGAAAAATACGAATTCAACCTAAAAGTCTACTGGAGTTTGGCAATATTTTTTCAGAGACTATATAAAGGCAAAAAAGCCTACTTTTAAAGATAAAATTTTGTCAGTTACTTAATAGTTACATACATGCAAAGTTTTAAAGTTTCACACTGTGTGGTCATTCTTTAGACTTGCAATAAGGTTTACATAAAAGCTTGGTCTTTCAATGTGCCAAAAACTTTAAATAAGAGAAGAGTAAAAGTGAGTTCAATAATTTTTGTAAATTTTATTGGTTCATAAAAAATAAATTTAAGAAGGAATTGTTATTGATACTTTCACAATTCTCAATCTGGAGAACAAAAGCTCAATAATTCAACTTATAAATATTCACATGTGAGGTGGCAAGCCTTCCTATTTTCTGCAAAATGAATCTGTATCAGTCATATTAGCAGGTCCAAAATAGTCAAGGGCAAGTATTTCAGGATTCCTAATGTTACTGTGAGCCAAAGGCTGCAAGATGATGCCTGCATGCATGATGGTGACTACACTGGTAAAGTTTTATTTTTGCTAAATTGCGTTTTTATCTTGAAATTCTAAAAGCTTTAGTGTTTTTTGTTTGTTTGTTTGTTTGTTTTTAAATAATTGAAGCTTGTTTATTTCTCTCTATATGTGGACATTTCCCTCAATATCTCTAAAGCTGTCATTAAAACAAAGAAATAATAAGTACAAATCAGGTAAAGAAAACGTTCATAATTTGCTTTACAACATTTAATTAAGATATTATCATTGGGGGGAATTTAAGTAAATCTAAAACTATCATATCAGAGCTCTAAGCATAAATTGTTTTCTCAAGTCAATATTTTCTTGGATATATCTACCAATACAAAAGCCCCAAGGTGATTGCAAGTATCCTCAGTAGCTGAAAAGAGAAAGCATCTGATTTAAATAAGCCACAGTCACTTCTGGATAATAACCAATTTCACTGTCTTTCCGTTGCAGTTAATAAACGGGCTACAAAGGATAAAAGATTCATTGCTTGTCCTGCCACCCTTTCAAGCACTGGATGACATAAAAGAGCAAGGAAGAAGACAAAGTGTAGAGAATTGTTAAAACCATATAGAAAGTCAGACTCAATAGTGACGGTAGCAATTTAAATCTCAGAAAATAGCAATGTGATTAAGATTTTCACTCTGCCTTATTTTTATTTGCGGCAAATACTATTTGCAGTGTTAGTATTTTACCAGACCTTTTATATTTTAAAATGGTATATGGCAACAAAGAAAAAACAAGAAAAGTGTGAAAATCTTAAAGAGAAGCAGGAAGCAATTAAGCAAAACATTTCTTACTGCAAAAACACCACTAATGTTAAGTTTCCACCTTAGCAACTGATTATAAACCAGTTCTCAATAACTTAAAAAAACTAGATTCAGACTGAAACAATATTACAACTAGAAATGAATTTCTAATAAATGAAATTTATATTTCTATTAATCAATTGAAGATATTTTCCAAAAATACATTTATAAATTGGCCTTAGTTCTGACTATTCACTAATTAAAAATGATAAAGGGGAGATACATTTAATAATATGATAATAACCCAATACCATAAATAACTAAAATGTAGGCTCTGCTGAGGCATTTTTATTATACAAGAAAAACAATGCTGATAATTTCAGGATTTAGAATAGAAAAGGGTGCAAATAACAAGCAGGGTTGCACTAAGGACAAATATAACAAAATAAGCAAAACCCCCCAAAAAACAATTACCTCAGGTGATGCAAATCCTAAATATTCCCAATCCCATGTTCCACCAGCAAAGCTACAAAGAAATTAGACATACCATTTGATTTATTACCAGTACTGCATAGTACAAACAATCAGACCCTTGCCTTTTGAACATTAATTTTAATTCCTCTGCTTGGAACTTGCTTAACCAAAGCAGATCAACCATAGAATATAATTAAAATGATACTTTTATTATTTCTTTTAAATTCTAAGCTACTTTATGTTTGTGTAAAATGGTGAAAAAATAACAGAGTATTTTATGACTGCTTTCTGTTCTTGTAGGTTATAAATGTTTATGTAAAAACAGAGTCAAAGGAATTTCTAATGCTTGCAATTATTATGAATAGAGAATACTTGAACTTATAATGGCATAGTATAAGTATGTAAAACAACCAAAATTCAACTATTCTTTAAAGGATAAATATGTATCACTTAAATAATTTTACTAATATCAGATTTCTAGTTTTTTCACAACTTCAGCACAAAATACAAATAAGTCTGTGACAAATTGGCAAGGCTTCCAAATTCTACAACATGTTTATGGCTATCATATCACTATACATATTACATATCTGAAATGACGCATTAGAATACTCTTTGAATTATGAGTTCACTGAAGTGTGAAATTCACCAAGCCTAACTTGGTGTGAAACTACACAATGACAAACAAAAAATGAGGAAAAAAGAAATAGTGCTTGGGGAAAAATCACCAAAAAGGAGCTACCATACTTTATCCATATTTTAGATATCTAAACTCTAGTAGGATAAAAAAGAATCAATGTGGCTGAAGCTAGAATGATTCCACAGTGTGCATCCCTTTTACCTGCGCCTGGGAGCTTCAGGTGAGTCTGCAGGAGCAACTCCCCGAGCCACAGAAGCCAGGAATTCCTGCCTCTTCTGCTGCACAAGGCATGCCGCCTTGATGATCTTGTGGCGGGGTGTGCGAAGGTAAGGCCTATTGACTTTTTGGGCAAGGTCTTCAGTGACCATTTCTAGATCTGTCTATGGTAAGAAGAGAAAAAAAATTATAGGCTGAGTAGATTAGTCAATAGCAAATCCAAAGTCTACCTGGTTTCTCTGTTAACTCTAAGTCTTTTGAAATCAGAAATTAATCCAATCTTTGAAGTAACTGCATTTAACACATGTTTTTATTTTCATATTATAGGAATCAGCACTCATTTGATAGGCGTTCAAGCAAGGTAGTTGGTATAGATCATGAAGGAGTGAGTACACCAGCTGTGTACAAGGAATTTATAATGCATTTATGTGGAAAAAAAAAACCTAATAAATTTCAAGTCAAGTTACTGTACATGCAGATGCATGATATGCGTTGCAGACTATACGTAAATGCTGAAGGTGAGCCCCCAGTGGTGTGGGTGAGGTCTAGGAGAGGAATGTACAATGAAGTTGGTCAGTCTCTGAGATGTCAGCTGACTTAGGTGTTTTGTTTTTTAAAGTACACTAACTTTTTTAATTGCACTCCTAAAATAAATTGGGAAATACCAACTTTCCCACTTAATATGTAATATGCCTCCCTCCCCCAATTTTTGGAGGTAAAATTCCTAATTATGTAATTAAGATTAGGCCAGATTTCAACCTCAAATAATTTAAAACAAAGAAATAAATGTAGTAAGAAATGTTTTCATAGCTCAGAACTGCAGAACGACAAATTTAAACATAAAGAAAATTTCAATTCATTACTATTTAAAAACCATTCTAAATGAAAACAAAATTGTTGACTAGTTACAGCAAAAAAGTTAAGTGGTCAAAAAAGGAGAAAATTTGCTTTTCATAATAACTACATTTAAATTTAATTTAAAAAGGATATCTTACTTGCATGAGTTCAAAAATTTCTTTCTTTGTGCTTTTAGGTTCTAAGAAGAATCCATAGGGATAAGAACACTTGAGGATACGCCGAGTCTTTAAGAGCACATGAACTGCATCTTCAATGAAAGTGGTATCTGGACAGCCTCCTTCAGCTATGAAGTAAACCAGGCAGGGTAAAAAGTCTTTTGTAAGCATGCTGATGTAAAATTAATCACACAACTAAATTTCCCAAAAAACCGCCCTAAGAAGAAACCGCATAAAGTAGCTGCACAACAGTGTTTATTGGAAGCAGACTAAAACCCTCCAAGGATACTTGTGTGTGGCTTGTCTGCATTTATAATGGAGCACTCCCAAAGCCCAGGCGCGCGGCAGTCAGGAAAGCACACACAGCGGACCCTGGACTTTGTTCTCGCCTGGCGGCAGCCACTCTAGCTTTGGGCCAGCTCAGAGGTCCCGTGCTTTACTAAGTTTTTAGGTTACCCTGTTGGGACTTTGCTGAATAAGAGTTAGAACAAATGTTTTGCTAAGAAAAAATAAAAGCCAAGTTATAGTTATGCCTCTATAGAAACAATTATGTAAGGAGGAAAAGACACAACACGAGAACAATTGAATAACTAATGCTAGTAAACAGAAAACTCCAGGGAGAGAGATAAAGGGAGAGAGAGTGGGAGGAGGGAAAACGAAAAAGCTAGCATGGTATAATATTTTGAAGTCTGTATTTCAGTCTGTATACACATTGAAATACAGACCATCCCAAAACACCTGCCATAGCATAGGGATCTGAACTAAGATGTAAAAAAATAAATAAAACAAACACCCCTGCTCATTATAAGTGAGAAGTATGTGAAGTTTTATTTCTTCTTTCTAATCCTGTATCTTTTAGTACTCTTTCATATCTTACTTTAGCCTGCAAAAGATTGAACAGAAACAGTAATACATATCCACAGGTGTTTATTGAATGTTTAGTGTGTTAAGCACTATTCTAAGCATTAGGAAAACATCATTGATGAGATAGACAAAAATCCCTGATGAAGAACTATAGAACCTGTGAGGGTTTTTCTTTTCAATTTGTACCATGGACTATACTTCATGAGTTTTATATTTATGTGATATAGTTACATCAGTGTAAAAGTCTAAGTACTAATAATTAATAAGAAACTAAGCTTCTAGTAACACATATGGTTAATCTTAATTAGGGAATTATCCTCATAAAAAGGGTGTTAGTACTCATTACTTTAAAAAGCATATATATTTTTATTGATTTTTGGAGACAGAAAAAGGGAGTGGGAGAGAAACATCCATGTGAAAGCGAAACACCAATCAGCTGCCTCCTGCACGCCCCTACTAGGGACAGAGTCAGAAACCCGGGCATATGCCCTGACTGCTAATTGAACTGGTAACCTTTTGGTGCACAGTATGACACTCAACTCACTGGGCCACACAGACCAGGGCAGTACTCATTACTTTTATAAACAGGAAAAAACACAAATAATTGATGACATTTTTAGGCTTAATACTTTTTATAAATAAACTCTGATTTAAAAATGTGACTCAAACAAACCTGTCAGAACCTGTATATACTCTGTGCAGTCATTGTCAGATATTATATTCTAATGTGAGATAGTACATATTAATTCCATTTTTAGGAATGTTCTTTTCAAACTTCCATGTCAGGATCTACAAGTTTTCCCTATCTCATGTCTTTGCTTTTTGAATCCAGCGTCTATTATCCACCAGCGAGATAATTTCTCCCATCTGTCCTTCATTTCCACCCCACTAGGCACTCGGCTAAATTTTCTCAAGATTCGTTGGGAACTCAGTCACAGACAATTGGGTGGCATGCAGATCTTGCTCTTTTGACCAGGTCAGTGATAACTTTTAGGGCCCATCCACTTTTCTCAACATTGTAGAGTGTCAGCAGTGGCAGAGAGCAAACAAAACCATAATGTGTATTCATATGCTAACAGCATAGGCTGCATTATGGGGAGATGAGGTAAGCCAGGTGGAAACCTAGTCACAGAGGACTCAAATGCTAAGTACAACTCTGGGTTTCAGAGTACTCCAAATAGTACCTGAGTGAGCTAATAGAAATAAATGCATTTCCTTAAGGGCCTTAACTTCCTACCAATGAAGCGACTGGCTTAATAAGCACTGAAGGCTATTTCACGCTTATCATCACACATGCCATCATAACTTACTTTCTTTGAGAGCTCTACTCAATTGTTCCATCTTTTCTTTAGCTGTTTTAAGAAGGCGTTGTTCTAACTAAAGAAACAGAAATGAATAATTTATATCATTGTCTTTATTTATCCACAACAGTGTAAGTCAGCATTTGAAATGATTTGGGACATACCTGATAGCTATGCTCATGGTTTTTAAATCTTGTGTAATAGTGCATAAATCTGTCAAGTTCCTGAAACCGTTTGTGTTTTTTCTCAGCCTAGGAAATAAAACTCCATAAGTGACTTTAATAAGTAAAAGTACTAGCTCTTAATTTTGCTTTTAAAAAAAAAATCACTTAATGATTCTATTAGTAATAGGTACTAATTTATACAGACTTTTTACTATCTTATTGAGAGAAAATAATAAACAATACATTTAAAGGCTCCCAGGACAAAATCCTGCATATGTTCCCTGAGACAAACCACTGAATCCACAATCCCAGAGTGTAAGTCAAAGATGTTTCTCAAGCCATATGCTTACATCTTATTGCTAAGAACTGAATTAAGCTCCCCTAAAAAATTCATGTTGAAGCCCTAACCCCCAATGTGACTATTTGGAGAAAGGGCCTGTGAGGTGATAAAGATTAGGTTATAATCCCAAAGAGCGAGTGCCCTTATAAGAGGAAGAGACACCAGAACTCTCTCTCCACCATGTGAGGACAAAGCAAAAACAGAGCTGTCTGCAAGCCAGGAAGAGTCACCACCATAATTGTGAGAAACACATTACTGTGTTTAAGACACCCAGTTTTTGGTATTTTATTTTGGCAGCCAAACAGACTAAGATATTTATTACATGATGTAACATAATACTCTACTATTAATATATTAAAATTGTTTTTGTCCCAGGGATGTAATGTACAGTACACAAAGTATAGTCAATAATATTATAACTCTGTATGGTGACAGATGGTTACTAACTTAGTGTGGTGATCATATCATATGGCATATAACTAGCAAATCACTATGTTGTATACCTGAAACTAATATAATATTGTATGTCAACTATACTTTAATACAGAAATTGTTTTTAAGTCATTACAGAGGGAGGCTGGGATACATATGACTTTCATTGCATATATTCACCATAAAAAAAGGGGAAAAAAAGCTCTTAAGTTTACAGAGCCATTTTGTTTAAATTAAAGATTAAGGTATATTCAATGTAATGCCTCATTACGATGAAGATGGGAAAAGGAGAAATGCAAAATACTTGCAATAGTATTAAGTGGCTTAGCCAGAAGTGTTGGCTTAAAAAGTTCTCTTTACCTCCACAGTCATTTCCTTGGATTGCTCTTCCACATGCTGAATGACTTCATAGCGAGTACATCTGTAATAACCACCCGTGGAGGAACTATGCTTTTTCCATTCTTCTAGGCAAATCCAGCAAAAGTCATACTTGCACTTCAAAAGAAAACATACATGCAAACATCTCTCCATGCTAATATGCAAGTTATTTTCGATTTCTGGTTTACCAATCCAGCCTGTGTGACCAGAAATAAATCCTAAAGACACACCCTCTTTTTCACATTTCCTCTGGAGATCTTGTCTGCACTCTGGAAAGATGTGGGGTTAGTTTAAGCTAAATGGAAGTCATAATATTATGGATAATCTCAAGGAATTTTTAAAAATATCAATAAGGAAAAAACTATCAATAGGATTTTTTTTGTTTGTTTTACAAATAATAAAAACATACCAACAAGTGTTTCATTTCTAAGTGCATGGTAATCTTAGGTCTATAAGGCTTTACCAGTCTATTTGAAAACATCTGGTAACTGACAAATTGGTTTTGAAACTGAGAACTAGTTTAAAAGTCTCTTAGTAGAACAACTGATATAAAACCCATTTCTCTTTTTTTTTTTTTTTTTTAAGGAATTTTCAGTTTTTCAATGACTATACTTACTAGACAATGCCAAAAAACTGAGCATTCCATAATGAAAATGCACCTCCTCCCTTTTTTATACTTACGGGTTTTGCATCAGAAAGATCTTCTCATTCCAAGGCTATGTTCTTTTTTTTTTTTTTTTTTTTATACTTTAATAGTCTCTCTCTTTTTTTAAATGTAAGTCTTTGAGCTGTTTATATGTTATCTGGGTATACAATATGAATTCAACTTCCATTTTTTCCACACAGCTGTCCAGTTGTCTCACTACCATTTTGAACAGTTCAGGTTAATCCACTGTTTGGAGATGCTTCCTTTACCATATGCTAAATTCCCATTTATCTGTGTCTATTTTCTGGGCTTTCTTTCTACTCTGTTCCACTGATCTGTAGATTCATGTGCCAGCACTGTGCTACTTCAATTATTGAGCTTTTATAACATCGCTTAATATTTGATAAGGCCAGTTCCTCATTGTTCTTTTTCAGAGTTTTCACAGCTATTGTTGCTTTGTTTTCCCATATGAACTTTTGCTTATCTAGATGCAGAAACAAAAATCTGTTCGTATTTTTGTTGGAATCTTTCTATCCAAGAACTTCATCTTTTTATTTGTTGGTCATCTTTTATGTCTTACAGAGAGAGTTCTTAAAATTTTCTTCATATTAAAAATTTTTTTTTCTTCATATGTCATATACTTTGTATATTACTTAAGTTTCTAGATTAACGAGATCTTATCTTTCAGTATTTTATCTGGATGTTGTTGGTACACATGAAGGCTAATACTGCATTCATTTTGTAATTTGTTACATAGTTAAAATTTTGTTGTTTGTAGTTTTTCAGTTGATTCTGTGGGGTTTTAGGTATGCAATCATGCTGTTTATAAAAAATGAGAATTTTATCACCTACTTCTATCTTTTACATCTCCAACTTCTTCCCATTGTCTAATTATACTGATTGTACCTCCAGTCCAACATTAATAATATCTGTGATGGAGAGCACACTCTTATCTTATTCTTGATTTTAGTGAAAGTACCTCTACCTTCCTCACCAAATATTGTGGACTGAGGTGGACTTTTTTTTTTTGTAATATATTTTATTGATTTTTTACAGAGAGGAAGGGAGAGGGATAGAGAGCCAGAAACATTGATGAGAGAGAACCATCAATCAGCTGCCTCCTGCACAACCCCTACTGGGGATGTGTCTGCAACCAAGGTACATGCCCTTCACCGAAATTGAACCTGGGACCTTTCATTCCGCAGGCCAATGCTCCATCCACTGAGCCAAACCGGTTTCGGTGGTGGACTTCTTTTTATCATACTAAGGAAGATTTAAAAAAATATATATTTTATTGATTTTTTACAGAGAGGAAGAGAGAGGGATAGAGAGCCAAAAACATCGATGACAGAGAAACATCGATCAACTGCCTCCTGCACACCCCCTTCTGGGGTTGTGCCTGCAATCAAGGTACATGCCCTTGACCGGAATCAAACCCGGGACCTTTCAGTTTGCAGGCCGACGCTCTATCCACTGAGCCAAACCAGTTTCGGCAGGAAGATTTTGTTTATTCCCGTTTCTTTGAGTGTCTTAAAAAGAATGGTTGTTAATTTTTTTCTCAATGTCTTTTTAGCATCTACAAAAATTACACATGAGTTTTCTCCATGGTTCTACTAATAAGATGAGGTACAGCAATAACTTAAAAAAAAAAAATTAATCCTCACCTGAGGTATCTTTTCCATTGGTTTTTAGAGAGAGTGGAAAAGAGGGAAAGAAGGAGGAAGCAAGGGATAAAGAAAGGGAAGGAGATTGGGATAAAGGGAGGGAGGGAGAGGAAATGATTGAGAGAGAGAGAGAGAGAGAGAGAGAAAGAGAGAGAAAGGGAGAGATATCTATCTATCTATCTATCTATATCTATATATATCTATCTATATCTATATCTATATATGCTTGTAAAAATCACTGGGTAACTGCCATTATTTTAAAAGTCATAATAATAATGATCATTAGTTTCAAGATTGAAAATCAAACAATACTTAGAAGATATTAATATATTTTATCGGAATCTTAACTATTTGCATTTCTTTCACACCCACACACATATATATAAAAGCCTAATATGTAAAGTGTCCCTCAGGAGTTCAACTGACTGGGAGTTTGATCGCTCACTATAATGTGCACTGACCACCAGGGAGCGGTGTGGGGAGAAGGAAGGCCCTGACTGACCCAGCTGGCAGCCACTAGGGACCCTACCCATGCGCAAATTTTGTGCACTGGGCCTCTAATCCTAAATAACAGAAATTACACTGTCCTCTCAATAATTTAAAATATTTTTACATTCATGGCATTCCAATGACAAGAAAAAATTTGGAGTATCATTACAATTTTTAAAAATGTTTATACATGTAAGCATGGAATAAAATATTATTAACCTAATTCCAGAATGCTTGTTTTAAATATGGTAGTTTCTTTCTGTGCAACTAAGTCAGAAGGGTAGCTAATAGTAATTACACATATTAATCATTTTCAGCCAAGTAGGTCTTTATTGGCATTTTCATTTTCAATTTAAGAATGAATTAGTTATTAACAGTTTCCTTAGCAGACCTAAAGTCTGCCCAATGCTTTGGGTACCTTTATTATACACACATCTTATATAAAGACACCAAGATTTAGATTTGGATGTATGGGGATTTCCTGGGGCCTGGCTTGGGACTTGAGTCTAACCTATGTGCTCTGAAACAAGCTTTGCAAGAGATCTATACACAGTAGTATGCTATCATTTAATACTATTATTTATACATCAACGAAACTCTCTCAGGACCCTCACTGGGGAAGGTGACTGGCAGGGAAGGACTCAGGCATTTTGGACCTTCTGGCCAAATACCACTGGATCCTTACTCTTATTTTTAACATTCACCATGAGTATCAAATTAAGTAATATAAATCATTACTTAAGTTATTAAAGAATGAAGAATGCAATCTCCTAGGATCCATCTGAAATCCAAAAAGATTTTTATGTTCACAACATTTCTTATTTGGATTACCAATCAAATTGCCAATCAACTGCAAAACATTCATAATCCTCTTTAAGTTCTTACCTTAGCACACTGCATGTGATTGCACCCCTCATTCTTCTGTATTGGAGATTTACAGTTAGCACAAGGCTTGGAGTTAGTTAACAACCAGAGACAGTTGGCAGCATCCTCATAAGCTTCACTAACGCCCACAACTTTGGGATATTAAGCACAAATACAAAAATAAATGATTTAGTATACAACTGCAAGGGAAAACCCCCAAGTGTTCTTTGCAGGTTGCCTCTCAATTTTAAACAAATATTTATTTTCCCACTAGGCTCTATGGTAAAACTTTTAAACTGTCTCATTTTGAATACCATAACTGTAGGATAAGGAGCTGTGTTCCAAAAGCTCTGTTTAGGAAATCTGATTTAAAAGAGATTTTCTCCCCAAAGCTATGTTTGAATAAACTGGGGAAGAAATCTATCCAAAGTTAAAAGAAAGCAGTATGCTATTCTCTGTTTAAAATAACTATTGCATCAGAAAACAGAAAAAATGGTTACTTTAGACAATAATTTCTGAAATAGGCCAGTTGTCAATATAATTGCCATAAAGTCTTCCTCATAGTAAAAACCATGGAAGTTATATTGAAATATTGACATCATTTTACCCATGATTAGTTTAGATGAGCTAAAACCCAATGTGACATGTCTAAAATTAACCCTTTGCACTCTGAACCATTCTGGACACTGGCTATCAGCTACTCGACGCTACTTTGCGAAACGTGCGTTGAATTAACTCAATTCCCCGTAATCACTAATAAACTGCAATGTCCCCTGAGAGGGGACATCCGAGTGATATGCTTAGAATTCCGATGTCCCCTGAGAGGGGACAGCGGAGTGCAAAGGGTTAAACTTACCATTGCCCCACCCAAATCACTTCTTTCTCTATCCCCTACTCTGGTAAAGATAAGGTCATCTACCTAAGTCAATCCAGGAAGAGCATGATCTTGGACACACCCTTCTCTTTCCTTAACCCACCATGTCCCATCGATTCTACATCTTTTTCATACCCGTTCCTCTCCATTTCTAATTTTATTGCTTTAGCGAGGGTCCTCCACACTTCCTGCCTAGACAATTAAAACATAGACAACCAACTTATCTCCCCAGCTCCTTCTCCCTGCTCCCACCTCCCACAATACAGCCTACATAGTAATCTCTTATTACTACGGCCCTCAAAATAAAACCAAATTGCTTTAACAAAGAATATAAAATCTTTTATAATTTAGCCACTGTCTACCTAGCAAACTTTTCCCACATTCTGTCCACACATGAACCTATGTTCTTCATCATCTTAAACTCAAATTATTCTACTAAATTTGAGATCTGGAGGCCAGGGCAGGCTGGAGAGGGTCAATGGAGAAAAAAAGGGGACAACTGTAATATTTTCAACATTAAAGATAAATTTGGAAAAAAAATAATCTGTTTATTAAAGGAATTCAATGGTTTTAAAATATTGTAAATTTGACATTTAACATTCTATAAACTTTCCCTCCACAGTGGGAAGAGTTAGGGGCTGGAGGCAGTTCTAGATGCACAATTAAAAACTTATTTTTTTCCTGTAAGAAATGTCAATAATCAAGTTTGTTTTGTTTTCTAGCTCTTTATGCTCAGGGAAACCCTATGTTTTCTAACTGAGAGAGGGGTTGGGAAATCACCTTGGAATCACTCAAAGTGGCCGGTCCAATCAAGGCTCTGATTATATGCAGAAGGATGGGGTAAGGAATTAATTCTAATCAAACCTCAGAGGGAAGGCAGGGGAAGGTGAGATTAAGGGGGAGAGATCATCATAGGACTTGTATGTATGCATATAAACCTAACCAATGGACAGAGACAACAGGGGGTTGAGGGCACGAGTGGAGGAGTGGAGGGAGGGCAATGGGGGCATAAGGAAATTAAAAAAAAAAAAAAGAAGCAGCAGAGAAATCAGATGTTTTGAGTACTGATGTTTAAAAGGAAAAATTACTCAACCTCCAGAAGAAAATCCCTGGAAAGGGAAGGAGGCAATGGTTTGACCTAACTGAGCCCTCCCTTGGAAATGGCTCCGCATATGAACTGAGACGAGGAGCAGCTCTCTGATGAAGCCCAGCAGTGTAGGAGGGAGCCATCTTGCCACAAGAAACACTTTAGTTTGTGCCAACAACAGCACAGCATCTACTGGACTGTAAAGCACTGGTTTTCAATTTCACACAGCAAAAAACAAACAACAGCAACAGCAGCAATGAACTGATCACACTCCACTCCAGTTCAAAACCCACTTGGTAGATGTGATGGTGTTAGAAGGAACGTACTACATCATGGCCAATAAGGTCAAGCAGAAGAGGGAATGCTGTTTATAAAGGGAATAGTTATAAAATTAACTACTAAGTACAAATGTCTAATTTTTGTTTACATGTAGCAGCTTTTCTCTTCCCTTCGGCATCAACATTATTTTTAGCTCAGAGATTCTCACATGTTCTTATGACCTTATTGTCCATTGTTATAATAAATAAAGCACAAAGCCATTAAAACAAAGTAGCTGTGTGGCCTGCAATATAAGTGTTTTTCTCCCACCCTTGGAGAGAATGCTAGTTCCTAGCTGCATTCTAGTAGATTGCATGAAGTAAGTCATGTTCAGAAAATGACCACTATTACAACAAAAACTTGTGCTGAAAAAAAGCCTTCACTTCTAGTTCTCTGAACATGCTTATTTCATACATCTCCCTTTACACATACTGTCCTTCATACCTTCAATACCTTACCTCCCTTCAATCTACCTGGTGAGTCTTCTTCGCTTATACTGACTTCCATACTCTTGCCTTTACTTCAGTTACATGTCTATATATCTTGGTCTCCTTTTATAATCTTGTGTGCTTAGGTCTCTTTCTAAGAAATATTAACTTCATTTAATAAAATATTAGAGAATAACAGAATCTAAGACCTATTAGTAGAGTCAACATGTATGAAAGTAAAAACAAAGTTTTTTTTAAAGACAGAATTAAAAAGAATATATATTTTATTGATTTTTCACAAAGAGGAAAAGAGAGGAACAGATAGTTAGAAACATCAATAAGAGAGAAAAATTGACTCAGCTGCCTCCTGCACACCCCCCACTGGGGATGTGCCTGCAACCCATGTACATGCCCTTGACCGGAATCGAACCCAGGACCTTTCAGTCCACAGGCCCACACTCTACCCACTGAGCCAAACCGGTTTCAGCTAAAGACCGAATTTTTAAAAAGATTATTTGAATTCCATCCAATAACAATTTGTTATGTACTATGAAAAAAATTGATTTGACAATCTTATTTACTTATTTTTGTTAATCTTCACCTGAGGATATTTTTTCCATTGAATTTTAGAAAGAGGGAGAGAGAGAGAGGAAAAGAGGGAGAGGAGAGATAAGGGTAAATGGGGGGAGAGAGAGAGATAAAGAGAGAGAGAGAAAGAGAGAGATATTGATTATCTACTGAATGTACCCTAACTGGAGCCGGGATCAAATACAAAATCCAGGTACATGCCCTTGATTGGGAATTGAATTTGAGGCACTTTGGTGTGCCAGCTGGTGCTCTAACTATGAACCACACCAGCCAGGGCTGATTTGATAATTTTATAAATAACCATTATTTCTCAGAAAATATTCCTGCTTCTTGCTTTGATTTAGACATACTAGAGCAGTTTCAGAACTTAAAAATAGTACCTGAATCTTTATGTGGAATTAATTCTTTAAACTGATCCGTTTATTTTATAATACTTTTTTTCATACATTAGATTTTGTTGCTCCTTTTGAGTCTCATAATTCAATGACATTGGAAAACAGGGCATAAGGGAGAAATCTTTCCCATGAATCTATAAGTTTGGTTGAAAATGTTTACGCCAGATATGAAATCGTGAGCCAAAGTAATATATAAAGTCCATGGTGTACTTAATCATACTTTTAAATATAATGATGATGTTCTACTTAAATATTATACTTGGTCTATTACTATTTGCTTTAAGCCTCAACTTAAATTTTCTTTTTGTTAATCCTCACCTGAAGATATTTTTTCCATTTATTTTTTTTAGAAAAGGGGAGGGAAAAATAGAGGCGAGAGGAAGGGGGAGAAGGGAGAAGAAGGGAAGGAGAGAGGGGGAGGGAGGGAGGGAGGGGGGGGGAGAGTGAGAGAGAGAGAGAGAGAGAGAGAGAGAGAGAGAGAGAGAGAGAGAGAGAGAGAGAAGAGATTGGTATGAGACACACATTGATTGGTTGCCTCCCACAAATACCTGACTGGGGCCAGCATTTGAACCTGTAACCTAAGTATGTGCCCTTGACTCAGAATGAACCCACTCCTTTGGTGCTTGTTCTGAGCACTGAGTCACATTGGTCAGGGCTCAATTTCATAAACTTAAGTAGCCATTATAATAATCTTACTAGTCAACACCTTTTGGTGGGAGGAAACTGAGTAAACTCCTGGGTTTTTCCCAGCAGTTGGGAACATTCTCTGCTGCCTTGGCTTTGTCTCTTCTGGTAGACACTTGTTAAGTATCCTCACTCTCTTGTCTACTATCCAATTTTCTATAGTTCCTCCATGTCTCAGAATTAAAACCCTATTTGGAACTTTTTGAGTGTGATCTTTCTCAGTGTTTCAGTATGCCTCAGTTTCTCAATATGCCTCAGTTTTTAATTTGAGGTGTCCCTATCTCTGGTCGCCAGAAGTAAACATGTATACACCATGTATACTATTTTCTAGTTCTATTACATTTCCTTCCCCATTACCAGCATCACTTTCACATGTAAGGATATTCTGTCACAGTGCCACCAGTAATCTGGACTTACTGGCCTGACCATTCTTCCTCTCTTTCCATAGGAAAGCTTGTTAGAGGATAAGGAGAAATTGATCTAACTTTAGAATTGTAAGGGATAACTGAAAATAATCACACATTTCAAAATACTTGCTTTACAGATCAAATCAGACACAGCTATTTTCTATTAAAGAATCAAATACTATATTGTACTAATTACTTCCTGTGGTATATTAACTCTTTTAGGTAACAAAAGAGTTAATATAACCCTCCTTCACTTTTCATGACATCTTAACTCCCCTGCAAACACTTCTCCTCTCTCATCTGCATTGCCTGTCTTGTTCAAGCCCTCGAATCCTCTTACCTGGACTCTGAAGTTGTCTCAGAAACAACTTCTTACCTAATATGTTTCAATAATCTCTAATTCATCATCCACACCTCTGCCCAAGTGACCTAAGCGAGCATCTTCAGTTACCACTCTCCCACTCAAAGCTCCTTCCCTCCTCAGTCTACCTTCCCAGTCACTCCCACTCAAAGCTCCTTCCCTCCTTCCGTCTACCCTTCCCAGTCACTCCCATTCAAAGCTCCTTCCCTCCTCAGTCTACCCTTCCCAGTCACTCCCACTCAAAACTCCTTCCCTCCTCAGTCTACCTTCCCAGCCATCTACCTTGATAAAAATATTTCTGATAACGCCACTTCCCTACTTAAAAAAGTGCTTTCTGTGGCTTCTTCTATAATAAATTAGGCGAGAATCCTAGCAATCTAGCAACACCTACTTTCTCAGTGTTTCAGGATAAAGCAGATCTTCCAGGATTGCATATAACCCACCCAGACACCCGATCCACACTTCTGCTTGTGCAGTTTGACCCCTCAATATGCCTTCCATTGCACTGGCTGCATTGAGTTGTCTGTAGTCCTTGATTCTGCCATGCTGCTTCACATCCCTCAGCCTATGCCTGGAACGCCCTTCCGATTCTGGTCTCTGTGAAGGGCATCTACCTGCTTTCAAGATGCGGCTTATGCATGATTCTTTTATAAAGATTTTCCTAACTCTCTCCTTGGAGATAACACAACTAATCTCTTTTTTGTCCCTCCCCATCCTCACAATGTATTGCAGGTACACTGTTCTCTCACAGCATTTATAATACTCTTTTTTTCCTTAGTTTTGTATATAGCTATCTCCATCTCTAAAATGTACATTTCAAGAGCGTAGAGGGTACCTTATTTCTGTATTCAAACAAAGGAGAGAAAAAAAGTTAAATAAACAATGAAGGTATCACTCAAAACTTAACAAATTCCTCCAAAGTATCACTTCTGAGCTGCAGGCCACTTCTACCACATCTCTGACATGTCCTGAAAGTACCTCAAGTTCAAAATGTCCATAAAACTCATTATTTCCCCCTGAATGTTACTCTTTTATCTGAAGTTCCTAAGTTGACCAGTAACACCATGATCCACCACCTGAGCCAAAGTAACAGTTCACTGCCTTACATCTGGTTTCTCTCTCCTTTAGTCTACCCTTACTAGTTGTCTATCTTTATAAAAGTATTTCTGATAATGCCACATCCTTATTTTTAAAAATGCATTCTATGGCTTATTCTGTTATTAGGATAAATCAGACAATTTGGCAAGAACCCTCACAATCTGGAAACACCCATCTTTCAAGCCTCATCTTTTGCAATCTTCTCCCTGGACCTTAATTTTACACTTCTTAGATATGTATAAAATATGTAGGCATGTGGATAACAGCAAGCCACCTCTAATAGAAACATAGATGTCAGAAGCAAGAAAAGAAAGCACATCTAATTGTGTTGTCATGTTTAAAGATGTTGTAGGTAATGGTACTAATCTATTTAAAGAACTCATACACATATACAGACTCTCAAATATCAGAATAGGGAAAATGGGTGGGTGTCTAGAGAGAAATGGCAAGCTAAATCTGCTTTCAAGAGAGAGACACGATGAACTTGGGGAACAGAAACAATTTATAAAAGTGTTTTTTATTTGGGAAGTGCCTAATACATAGTACCTAGTACTAAAAAAAATTAATGATTGAATGATGAATGTACAGAAGTATTTAATCAGACCTCACTATAAAATATCCTGAGATTTTATACTTCCTTTTGCTTCTGGATAAGGGACATGGGCTTTCTAAAAATGTGAAAGGGATCTCCCTCATTAGCAATTAGCAAGCTGGTATTCTGGTATACACTGTAGTTTCTTCTCGATGGTGTGAATAACCCAGAGTTGGTGCACACAATGGATCTTGTGAATTTGAAATGCTGAGGACTAGCTCTCGGGCTATGATATATATATTATTGCCCAATACAAGACAAGCCCATATTAGTTATCATACGATATTGTAATTATCTGTTTCCCTTCTAGCCTCTGCACTCTTTGAAGGATAGCATCATTTTTATCACACACTTTGCTCACAAATAAGTGTAGACTCACTGAGTAAATTCTTACTCCTGATTTGCAATTCCTCAAACTAACTCCATTATCTAAAAAGCAAAGAACCCCCCCCCAAGTTAATTTTCATTTATATTAATTTCAAAGAAAATAGTTGAATAAAACACTTCAGAAGATAAAAGCTGTTATAAAGCATATATATTTACTTGTTAAATGTAGGAATTGCTATTAGGAAGGGTAATTCAAACTCATTCTGTTTACAATGCCTGTGCCCTGTGTCACTCAATAAAATGTGCTAATTTCCTCATTTGTAAAACGGGATTACTAATATTAATCACATCAATTTCTGTGAGAATTAACAGAGATAATGTATATATAAAAGCCTCAATAAAAATTATATTGACATGGCATTTTAATAAGTCCACAGAAATGCAGTAGCAAGAAATTAACTTGTTTTCTCCACTGGAAGCTTCCAGGGAAATAAGCTTCCTATCACTACAGATCACACAGTTGGCCTAACCCAGGAAAACAGGGAAGGCTGGAGGCCCATTTACCCTGTCTGTTTTAGGTTGGAAAATAAGTCAGCTAGAAACATGGAACCTGTATTGAATCCCTCTTGCAAATTCTGTCATCTCCAAAAGGATGTTGATTAAGGGGTGATATTAAACAGGGAAACCCTAGCATGAACAAACTTGAAAACTTCTTAAATGAGGACTCTAAGAAATATAACCACATTATCTTTTGTATGCTATCAGAAAATATGTAGCATAGCTATCTAAAAATTTCGCTTACGTTCTTCTGGTTTCATTTCAGTTATCTTTTGTAGCCAATTTTTCCATGTTTGGCAGTCACAAGGCTCATGTGCTTCACCAAGGCACTCCCTAAAGAGGAAAACATAGAAATGGCAATTTACAAAATATTCTTCATCAGCATCAGGTAAAAGAATAGGTGGAAGGTAACTTTTCCAACTCTGAAGTTGAGAAAACGGAGGCATGGAATTAGATATATTAAACTTATTTTAGTACATATAAAAATCAATTCTGCTTTCCTAAAATGTAAGGGATATCTGTAATAACTGTTAATTTTAAATTGGCACATATACTACCGTTCACTAGTGCTAGAAATACTCCACAGAACTAATATCAGTGTTTCCATATGGTGCTTGAGAATGTATGTAGATATACAGAAACTGTATTCCTCATGATTCATTTAAAACAAAAATTAAGCTGCAGAATAGCCTTATATATCTGCTCTACCTAAAACAAATGAAGTCAGTGAAATAAATTATTTTCATTAAGTTTAAGATTTTTATCCCCTGGAAATTCAAACCCATTCTGTTTACAATGCCTGTGCCCTATGTTACTCAATAAAATGTGCTAATTCAAACCCATTCTGTTTACAATACCCCCTATGCCCCCCCCCCCCCCCCCCAGCATCAATACCAGAATGATGGCTCTGCTGTTAGAACAATTTCTGACAGGATCCAGAAAATAATCACAGGGGTCTAAAAATATAAATGCTACTTCTTTAAAAGTCCACAACTACTAGTATTTATCAGTATGCTGGATTCTCTAAAGTTGGTTTCCTTTTCTAGACTCTCACAGGACAGACCTGCTGCCTCCTCAGGTGCTAGCCCCAGCAGTGGGATCTCTTCTGGGTGAAATAATTGACTGGCACAGTTTCCACTAGTTCTCAATGCAATGCTAAGAGTGGGTATAAAAAGGAGAAGCTAGAGCAAGGGCCATAAATTAGAGAACTAGAGGCTGCCACTTAATACTATTATCGATGTATAGGGAGTGAGGTTCTTCTGAGAGAAGTAATGAAGATACTGGAATGTTCTCAGGTACTTGAAACATAAATTCCTGAAAAAGTTTTAATAAAGACACCAATGAATGCCGAAACTGGTTTGGCTCAGTGGATAGAGCGTCGGCCTGCGGACTGAAAGGTCCCAGGTTCGATTCCGGTCAAGGGCATGTACCTTAGTTGCAGGCACATCCCCAGTGGGGGCTGTGCAAGAGGCAGCTGATCCATGTTTCTCTCTCATCGATGTTTCTAATAATAACTCCCTATCCCTCTCTCTTCCTCTCTGTGAAAAATCAATTTAAAAAAAAAAAAAAAGAAGAGACCAATGATTGATGACAAGTACTCTGACATACATGGTACCTGTTGTTGAGATTGCATCCCAAAATGTCACTAAAAACAAGTGAATGGGAAGAGGAATTTAGGTACATAGTCAACTGAAATTTAGCGACACTAATACAGTGGGTAAATTTAGGGGGGAAAATGCCTGGTAAGAAATTATAAAGAAAAAAATTGTTATCTAACCTAAAATTCTTAACCCTTTGCAAATACGAAGGTTAACTAATTTTAAGAGATTAAGGGATGGTTCTTTCCTTGAAAATGTGTCAATATGCACAATCGTTGGTAGAAAAATAAAAAAAGGTGGAAAGTGAAAAGGGCATTCAGCACTGGTTTTGCAGCAGGCCACTGTAGAAGCAGCATGCATTGGAGCAGCGAGAGTGGCACTGCTTTTTTTTTTTTACTCCTGTCTTTTTAAAAATATATTTTTATTTATTTCAGAGAAGAAGGAAGAGGGAGAGAAAGAAACATCAATGATGAGAATCATTGATTGGTTGCCTCCTGCACGTCCCCTACTGGGGATCGAGCCCCCAACCCGGACATGTGCCCTTCACTGGAATTGAACCCAGGACCCTTCAGTCCCCAGGACAATCGAGAATGGCACTGCTTTTACTACATGTTGGTGCTGTTTCACGTGATACTTGGTATGATTTGATAGGTTTATATTTTGGATCTGGGTACACTCAAAATTTTTCCATAGAAATGAATGGTCACTGCATTTTCACTTTATGTCATTTCCACTTATTACACTTATGAAAGGTTTCATAGAAACACTTTAGGGTAGTGGGGTAAGTCTGTATTTAGATGGGTATGCTACTCTGTATAGAGGACATGATATTTAAACACAGTCTTATAACTGATCTCTACCAAGTACATAAATAGTATCCTGTTTTCATTCCTGGCCTAAAAAGTATGGGGAATATTCTGTTAGCTGGAAAGACTGATACTTAAATAACTGAATACTGCCAGTCTGGGAAAATCTTTTTTTCCCAGAACCAGAGCTATTAAGGTAAGGGTCTGAGATTCTGATTTTGCAAGAAAGGACGAGACTCAATTATTAGGTCCACAAACAAGGACAGCCTCATTTATTTTGTCCAGTGGAATCTTAAGGAGTCCCTTTGTCTGTCGATGGAGAAGGAGATGAAGCATTAAATGTTACTTTAACTCAAGATTCATGACCCTAACAAGGGAGGACGCGGTATCAAAATTCATATCCTGGGTATTGGAGGAAAACAGAATGAGCTATATAATTTTAGTGTTAATGTATTCACACTCCAAGTTTTCCCAAGTACTTAACAGGTCTGCACATTGCCCTCTAGATTTACTGGAAAGTTAAAAGGACTAGAAACCTGATACCATGACCTCACCAGGTGTTCCACTGTGATTCAAACCTTCCTATCTGGGATTCAAATTTGTTTCCTGGTGGTGGTGACACCATTTTAAAAGTTTCTTTGCATAGTTTCAGTAAATAAATGCTCCACAGCTACATGATATTATATATTAAAAACCTCACCATTTTTATTTCTTAGAATATCCATGCCAGTCAATTTCAGAGAATAACTATAAAATAGGTTTGACTTCCGTGGATTTAGAAGAGACAAATTCCAAGTAATATTTGGAATTTATTTGTGATTATTTGTGATTAAAGGAACCAGGAGACATTCAGAGTTGGCACAGAAGAGAAATGACCACTAACTATACCAGGGTAATTCTGAATATTCTCCTCACAGATTAAGATTTTGGTGACCAAGAAGTATTTATGATAACTAATCTTTAAGGAGTTAACTCAGAGAAAAAAAAGACTTTGTGTCAGTTCAGAGGGCAAAGTAGTAGCATGTTCTACTTAATAAAAAGAAAAAGAGAGGGAAGAAGGTCAGTGGCTCAAGTGAGAGTCCAGGTTTCGATGGGGTAACATTGTCAAGATGAGACAAATTGCAGTTATACAGGCGGGGGGGGAGAGCATTCTGGACTGAGCTATAAAAGACACAGAACTGGTTGGTGAACAATTTATAATAGAAAAGGCTATCCCTTGGTGGGAAGGAAAATAAATGCCTACTCTTACCTTCCCTCCCAACAATGAATACATTCAGTTCTACTCAGGCAGACATCTCTTGGGAGTGACTCTAAACTGATTCTGTCACATGCTGTTCTTAAAAAGAAGAAATTATTATTGCCATTTTTTGTGGTTTTTGTTATCATCTTTAAAGAATATTTCTGAGCTTTTTGGGGAAAGAAAGAAGCAAACCTAGAATCACATGCCTTTATTTTATAAAGATCTCTTTTGCAAAGCTTCCCTTTGCTTGCAGATTTTGTTTCTCTTTAAGACATCACAGAAGAGCAGAATTCTACTCAGGAATTCTTTAAAATTTTTTTGTTGAAATTTCTGACTATAGGAACAGCTCTACTATAGGAATAAGAATAGGAAGTTATAAATTTTTTGGTGGCCAAGAAGTATTTGTTCCAATAAAACTTAAAAAATATATATTTTATTCATTTTTTACAGAGAGGAAAGAAGAGGGATAGAGAGCTAGAAACATCAATGAGAGAGAAACATCAATCAGCCACCTACTGCACACCCCATACTGGGGATGTGCCCGCAATCAAGGTATATGCCTGTGACCGGAATCGAACCTTGGACCATTCAGTCCACAGGCCGATGCTCTATCCACTAAGCCAAACCGATTTCGGCTAAAACTTTATTTTCAAAAATTGGTGTGGATTAATAGTTTGCAATATTGCTATGTATAGGTTGACAGGGGAAGAAATATTTTTATTTTATTTATTTATTTATTTTTTAAATATATTTTTTATTGATTTTATACAGAGAGGAAGGGAGGGAGAGAGAGTTAGAAACATCGATGAGAGAGAGTCATCGATCAGCTGCCTCTTGTACACCCCCTACTGGGGATATGCCCGCAACCAAGGTACATGCCCTTGACCAGAATCGAACCTGGGACCCTTCAGTCCCCAAGCCGACGCTCTATCCATTGAGCCAAACCGGTCCCAGCGGAAGAAATATTTTTAGCTAATGACAATGATGCTGAGAGTAAGAAACAGATCTTTCAGGGTAGGAATATTTCATTACTATCTAGCAGTGCTACAATTTGATTTTGGTTCTAATAAGTAGATGAGTAGACTATTATATTCATCTAAAGTACATCCTTGCATATGTGATAAATCTATAAAGCAAAAAAGAACAAATAGTACTTATTTTCTTGGTCATTTAATTAAATAAAAGTTAATTTTCATTGAATCTACTCTGAATAAAGTTAGAATGCTATTATCAGACAAACATAGTTACATACCACTCATGGTTGATTTATCATCAGTTTACACTTATTGAGTACTTATCAGGCACTGGAAATTAAAGACACACAAAGTAGACCCTAACCAGGTCTGTGCATTAGAATCATTTAAGAGCTTTCAGGGACCCCCCCCAAAAAACAAAACAAAACAAAACAAAAACCTATTAAGTCAAAACATGACTTGCTAGGCTTGGGATGAAAATTTGGAAAAGCTGTCGATAGTTCTGGGCATCCCTAGTTAAGAATCACTGCTAGAGATTTTGTTTGTTTGTTTGTTAATTCTCTCCTGAGGATATTTTTTTCATTGATTAACAGAGAAAGCAGAAGGGGAGGAAGGAGGGAAAGAGAGAAAAAGAAAAAAAAAAAATCCATGTGAGAGAGAGCGTAAGTCTTCACTGGAGAAGGGGCGTGAACCCTTCATTGAGTATCAAACCCAGGACCCTTGGGTGCATGAGCCAATGCTCTAACCACTTAGCACACTGGCCAGGGCTAGAGACTTATTTTAAGGTATAAAGTAAAACTCTAAACATTTTCTAATCTGTGGTCAACAATCTGATATTCATGCATGGGCTCTGGTATCAAATGGAGTTGGGTTCTAATCCCATTTCTGCCATTTCCTAGCTGCATAACCCTGGGCAACTTTTCTGAGCTGGAGTTTTTTTTATCTGTAAAAGGGATATAATAACAGCATACAACTCATAGCAAAGCCAGGAGAACTCAGTATATCAGAATATTTGGCACAGTACTCAGCACATATCAAGCACCCAATAAATGTATACTCAATACACTTAATAAGAATTATATCAAACAGTAGAATTTAAAAGCCCGATTGAAGGTACAAATTCTTTAAAAAATATTAGAAAGGTGACTAGGCTAATTCCAAATTGTCTTGTACTGACCAGCAGAAGAGGTGTCCTTTTCCACAGTCCACAGCAGGAGCTCTGAGCAAGGGGAAGCTGAGTGTATCAGACCCAGATGCATTTGACCCTTGTTTTGTTAGTCTGACTGCTCTTTCACAGCCTGGAGTAGGACACCATTTAATGGCAGGATTATTTTCAACAAAGGCCTGTTTAAACAGTAATAACAAAACAACAAAAAATATTTTATCTCTAAATTTTAAAATGTGTTCCTATGTTAGTTTACTTTAAAGAAGAAAAAAGTAAACTAATAAAAAGCAGTCAGTCTCAAAATATAACTCAAATAATACCAAAAAATATGAAACAACTTCTTCTTTTTTTTAAGTATAACTGACACACACTATTACATTAGTTTCCGGTGTACAACATAGTGATTGGATATATCTGATCATTTAAGAGCTTTTGGGATCCCAACAATTCTAGTAATCTGTCACCATACAAAGTTATTACAATATTATTGACTATCTTCCCTATGCTGTACACTCTCTTTGACCTCATTATTTTATAATTGGAAATGTGTACCTCTTAGTGCCTTTCAATGTTTCACCTGTGCCTCCCAATCCTTTCCCCTCTGACAACCATCAGTTCGTTCTCTGTGTCTATGAATCTGTAACTTTTGTTTTGCTTGCTCTTTTGTTTTGACCTCAAGATTCAAGTTAAATCATGAAATAACTTACTAAGAAGGAAAGGTAATTACCCAGCAATAACACAATTTTTCAAATTTACATTTTCTTTTATATAAACTTATATAATATGTTTAATAAACCAAGATGATAAATGATGATGATAAAGTAAAAATGCAATTATTCACACAGAAAATGTACAATTTAGAAATGTTTTCTCATGCCGAAGCTGGTTTGGCTCAGTGGTAGAGCATCGGTCTGTGGACCGAAAGGTCCCGGGTTCGATTCCGGTCAGGGGCATGTACGTTGGTTGCGGGCACGTCCCTGGTAGGGGGTGTGCAAGAGGCAGCTGGTCGATGTTTCTCTCTCATCGACGTTTCTAGCTCTCTATCTCTCTCCTTTCCTCTCTATAAAAAATCAATAAAATATATTTAAAAAAATGTTTTCTCATGCAATATGCCAATTTTCTGATTAACATAATTATAAAAAGAATTTTACATGTGATTATATTAGTTGCATTAGAATAGTAAGTATCTAAATGGTATTCTAATAATACATAAAAATCAATATTATGATGCTTCTATCTAAAGAAACAGAACTTTTAAAAAAGTCTACACATTGGAGTTTAGAACCCCCAAAATCTGCCCAAGGCACTTAAGATGAACTTTAAAATCATAAGAAAAAAAGTAGCCGAAACCGGTTTGGCTCAGTGGAGAGAGCGTCGGCCTGCGGACTGAAAGGTCCCGGGTTCGATTCCGGTCAAGGGCATGTACATTAGTTGCGGGCACATCCCCAGTGGGGGGTGTGCAAGAGGCAGCTGATCATTGATTCTCTCATCGATGTTTCTAACTCTCTGTCCCTCTCTCTTCCTCTCTGTGAAAAATCAATAAAATATATTATAAAAAAAAAAGTAGCCGGGACCGGTTTGGCTCAATGGATAGAGCATCGGCTTGGGGACTGAAAGGTCCCGGGTTCGATTCTGGTCGATTCTCAATCTCTCTTCCTTCCTCTTTGTACAAAATCAATAAAATAAAAATAAAATTAAAAAAAAAGGTAATTTGCATATATTCCTGAATAACTCCTTAATAAATATATAGAAAAAAAGATGTAATAAACAGTATAATTCATGAACTAATACTTGAAACTAAAAGAAAACCCCATATATTTCTAAGTTGATTATCTTTATTTCTAAATATTTATGAGTATAAAATATATATTGGAAAACTTAAAGTAATACTATCTACTTTGAACATTATCTTGATCAATCAGTTATAAAAGTACAACAGGCAAATCAGTAAATAGTTCTGAGCAATAGTTTTATTTCTTTTAATAAACGACTACTTTAGCTTTTTACTTCTTTCATGATTATAAAATAACACGTTATCTTAAAACTTCAATTAATGCTGCCATTCCTTTATGCAATTTTTATGAGACAAAAGTAAATTATATTTCCTTTATACAATTTTTATGTTTTCAAAAATAAAACAAAAATATTAAATGAAATATTTTGTATAGTTTTCATAAAATTAAAATTATGGGATTGGACTGATAATTGCCAGCATACCTTAATATCAAACTGTAGGTATCGTTTGTCCATCTCCTTAGAAACTATACTTTCTATGATATCCACAGGTACAAGTTGGAAGCAATCATACGCAGGGCAGAAAATATTATGGGCTTCACCTTCTTGAATTTTCAGATTCAAAAACCTATTAAAATGATCAATTGATAGAAAATGGACAAAGATAAAATTTATTTACTCATTCTAAGATTTTTTTCTTTTCGCTGAATTATCTGCTACACTATAATTAAAATAACACAAATGAACTAAGTGTGGAATATCAGGTATAACACACTGATTCACATAATTCATAATGAACACTTACTACCTGCCTAACCATTCATTATTTATACAAATATATATATACACACCTATTTATGTTTTACATATTTTTACATGTTCCTAGTCCACTACATCCTCTAAAAATTTGAAACTATATTTATTAACATTAAAAATTCAGAAATGTTTAGAAAGGTCATATTCAATTCTCAATATTCTATACCTTTAAACAAAAGGGAGCACTAGTACAGAAGTAAACCATGCATAACTCAAGAGATTTTGGGATGGCACTAAAATGTAGCATGACTTTTTGAAGAATAGGTTTTCTGTTTATATTACATCTGGACAAATATTAAAATGGCTTTCATGTTGTCCTATTAGTCACACTAGTTGAGGTAGTAGGGAAAAGGCACCCTGGAAAGTGGCAGGAATCTAGCCCAAGTTGAATTAACCTGTTAACCGAGCTGGACGTATAAATATGTCAAACGTAAACAATATCAGGTACGGGTAGGACGTATGAATACGTCCTTGAAATATATGTTGCACCCTGAAATGGGCGGGACGTATATTTCCGAACAACAAAGGTATTAGTCATCCATACATGACTCGACATCAATTTAATACACGGAGGGAATCAGTATAATTTCGCTATTGAGAGTGGTGGACGTGTTCTGGGTGAGCAGTGACGGGTATGTACTTACACTTACCTACCTATTTTCGTATTATATATTATTATTTTTTTAAAAAATATATTTTATTTTTCACAGAGAGGAGGAGAGAGGGATAGAGAGTTAGAAACATCGATGAGAGAGAATCATCGATTAGCTGCCTCTTGCACACCCTACTGGGAATGTGCCTGCAACCACGGTACATGCCCTTGACCGGAATCGAACCCGGAACCTTTCAGTCTGCAGGTGGACGCTCTACCGCTGAGCCAAACCGGTCTCGGCCGTATTATATATTATTTACTTATGTTTTTTAATATCGCCAACCTTTATATAATAAAAAAACATATAAAATTGATCCAATCATCAATAATTTCTCAGAAAAGTTTAAAAGTTTTTATGTATGTGAACGAGAAATATGCGTAGATGAATCTCTTTTATTATGGAAAGGGAATTTATCTTGGAAACAATATATATCTACAAAAAGAGCTAGATTTGGAATGAAGTTGTTTATTTTGAGTGAAAGTCAATCTGGATACGTACAAAATATAATTTTATACACAGGCAAGGACACAAATTATGGTTCAAACTACCCACAAGAAAAACAATCAACAAGAATTGTTTTGGAGTTAACACATGACTTACTGAATAAAGGGTATAGGATGTACTTAGATAATTTCTATACGTCAATTCATTTGGCTGAACTCTTTTATTTTTTTTAATTTTTAAAAATAATTTAAAAAAATATATTTTATTGATTTTTTACAGAGAGGAAGAGAGAGGGATAGAGAGCTAGAAACGTCGATGAGAGAGAAACATCGACCAGCTGCCTCTTGCACACCCCCTACCGGGGATGTGCCCACAACCAATGTACATGCCCTTGACCGGAATCGAACCCGGGACCTTTCAGTCCGCAGACCGACGCTCTACCACTGAGCCAAACCGGTTTCGGCATTTGGCTGAACTCTTGTGTCAAAACAATACAGACATTGTTGGAACAATGAGGATAAACAGAGTCAGAATCCCTAGTGAAATAAAAACAAAAAAATTACAGAAAAATGAACATATGTAAGAATCAAAGACAAACTTATGGCTTTAAAATGGAAGGATAAAAAAGACGTATTGATGCTCAGTTCTATTCATAATGACGAAAAGATAATGATTGAAAAGAGAGGAAGGCGGCAAGAAAAACCGAATGTTGTCCTGGATTATAACAAGAATATGGGCGGCGTAGATTTGGGAGATGGAGTTATGGTGGCCTACACAGCTGCCCGTAATAGGGTAAAAAAGTTTTATTAAAAATTTTCTCTACAATTATTAATTGATATGTGCTGCTTCAATGCGTATATTATATACAAAAAAGATAAAGGTCATTTGGATCGATTACACTTTTTGATAGAGTGTGTAGAGAAATTGGTAGATAACAACATAGTGAAAACCCACCCAAAGACATCAACAAGAAGCTCTACATCTAAACCATCACGCTTAGTTGAAAGGCATTTTCCAGAACAAATGAAAAGCGATATAGGAAAAACTAAATCCAGGAAATGCCGAGTTTGCTACAAAAAAGGTGTTAGGAAAGAATCTACATACTGGTGTCTGGATTGTAAGGTAGCACTATGTATCAACAATTGTTTTAAAACATATCACACGGAAGTTGAATTTTGAATTTTTACATCTATATTTCAATTTTTTAAACTCAATATTTCTATTTTATTTGTGTGCTTTTGTTTATTGTTCTGTAATTAACTTTTTTATATTTTTTATTGTGTATAGAAATAAAAAATATATATTTTTTGTAATCTTTATAATTGTTTGTAAAATTTATAATTTTTTAATTCGATGTTTCCTTTTTTTGTTGGTATTCTTTTCTATTTGTTTGTAATTTTGTATTTTCCTTTGTGCTTTATATATAAATAAACGAAAAAATATATATTTCATTTATTTTAATTAAGTATAAATAAAAATAATAATAATATAAAATTACGTCCAGTGGGCGTGACGTACTGACAAGTCCTAGTGAAAGAGCATGCGCCCGTTGTACGTTGCGTAATTAAAAAGGGAACTCCCCGGTTAACAGGTTAAGTGGTTAAGAACAGGATTTTGAATTAGAGAATTCCAAGCCTGCCACTAACAAGTAATATAATCTTCAGTTTTACTATTTATAAAATGGAAATAATAATGTATACTTCTCAGGGTTATTATACAGATTATAAGATATAATGTATGTAAAATATAAGCATGGTGCCTTGTACAGAATAAGAATTTATAAATTTTAGCAAAGGTTTATTGTTATTATAAATGTTGCCCTACAGAAAGAAAAAAATTTTGAAGTGTGTATTTAACATTTAAACCTAGAGAAAATAAATGGAAAACCAGGAAATTAAATAATCATTTTCTAGTCATCACTATCAACAACAGTTCATTATTCCACTGCCTAGAGTATATTTTACCTTTAGTTCTGTCTCTTAATTCCATTGCACTTAAAGTATCAAGCTTACTAAAAAGACTCATCATTATCTGTTCCCTTTGTTCCACCTCTTACCCTTGGCACAATAGCATACTCAAGTTTTCCCCATCCTTAAAACCTTTCTCAGCCAAATGACTCCTTTTTTAGTTATACTTTCTATTCCTGTCAAAGTTTCTTGGCAAAACAGTTTATGATGATTTGCCATTCCTTCCTCAACTCCATCCCATTCAGCTCTAAGCCTGTAACACTCTAGCTTCTATCACCTCTTCATTGAGTGACTGATCTCAACATGGCTATTAGGATTACTCATTAGCTCAATCTATTATACTCAAGACTTCTAAGTAAATCGCTGGGAAGAGGAGAGGTTTCAGTTTTCACTTAGAAACCAAGGTTAACAGAGGCAAACCTGGTAGAACCCAGATAATTCTTCCTAATTCAATAAATACAATATAATACAATACAATACAATACAATACAATACAATACAATACAATACAATACAATACAATACAATACAATACTTTGGAATGTAAGCTCTGACCTTACCAATTAGTTTACCTGCATCAACTACTGTTTTAATTCTACCTAATTAGACTCTGAGTAGAGGCTAACCTGTGTTTTAAAATAAACAACCCGATAGCCGTATTCATTCTGACTTTATTTTTTCCTCCTCTAAATGAAATCTTGCCTTATACCTGGTTTGGAAAACAGATAAGAAAAGGACTCAAAATGAAACCCGAGTGACAGAAATAAGATCAGTGTTGCCTACAGATTGGAGGGAGGGAGTGGTGATGAGAGGATAAGGAGGCAAAAAGAGAGGCAGGAAGGATTTCAAGGAGAAATGAGGTAACTTTTGGGGGTGATAGATATATTCATTATCTTGATGTGGTAATGGTTTCATGGATACACACACATGCCAAAGCTAATAAAATTATTTATTTTAAATATGATTTATTATATGTCAATTACACCCCCAAAAGTTGTTTAATTTGCTCATATTCTTGGCTCTTTTACCCAACATGGTATGTCCCAGCTCCCTAAATGTGGTACCCAGCACTCTATAAAAAAGAATAGTTGGATAACTTCTGATTTTTAAGATTTCCTTAAATACTAATGACATGCTTCATTTAGGCCATTAACTAGCATATTTATGTGTCTCCAGAGAAAACATGGTATTGTACTCCTCATTATACTGAACTTCATTTTGTTTATAAGCCTCTCTAGAAAAATACAACATTAGAGCAAAGTTAATGGATGTGGCAAAGTATAAATCTTGGCAAGTTAATGGGAAGAATAAACATGAGAAGCAAAATAAGTTTTCTACTTATAATATATACTCAACCATGCCTAGCAGAAGCATTTAACTTTGAATTTATTAAATAGGAATTTTAAATATCCTTATTCTTATAGATTTTCAAGGTTTTTTATTTGTTACAAAAATTCAGAGAAAGCATAAAAATAGATGCTTAAAAATTCTTGGGATATAAGAAAAGGTTGATATTTAAGTGTAGGTTTGAGATGTAATATAAATTAAAATACTAAGAAACGCATTTACCTATACCTGCTTTGTTCCCTGAAGTACCTTACATTAAGCTAAAAATAACACTAATTGCTAAATTAAATAATTTCACTATGTTAATAGATGGAAAAATGTTAAAATAAGAAAAATAAAATTCTTCCTTAGTAGTGAAGTGTAATACATTTCAGCATAACTCTGTAACCAGTAAAGTAATCCATATAATTAAATATTAAAAGCAAATAATTTTCTTATCAAATCAGAGTGCTTTCATGCAGTAAGAAATACTATGCATATATACTCACGACTCCCAACATCCTCTACAGAAATCATGTCCACAGGGCATATCCACTGGGTCTTCAAATACAGAAATACTGCACATACAAATGTCACACTGGAGATGAAGAGCAATGATTTAAACAAAGTCATATATTAAAAAGAGTGCAATATGTTCATTTGTCCATTATTTTAAGGCAATAATACTAATACAGTAATTACAAAAAGTTAATGTTTTCAAAGTTATAAGGTGAATTAAAATTAGTGTGCTTACCTTTGATTGAATAACAAATAAGCCTACCTCATTATAAATGATTGTGAGATTTACTCTTACAGTCCAAATTTATGTATTAAATTAATCAGTGACTACACATTTGAAAAAGGAAGTACAAGAAACAAATCATTACTATCTATTCAGGTCAAGATCAAATTGCCCATTTCAAAATAACCACTTCAATATCATGTCCTTCACCCTATACTCACCCAGAAAATCTACAAAAACAGAGTAACTGTTTTTTCAATATAGTAACTCAGGATATTCAGAGTAGCAATTTAAGGATTTCTACCCAAGGAACTCTGCTATAAAACTATGCATTATCTCTAAACAATGACTTATTAGAAACAAACTCCAGAAGCTTTACTAAAACAAACACATAATTATCAATGTAGTATAAATGTCTTGAAGAAAATATAATATATGTTCTTGTATTTTTGGTGTAAAGTATCAATCACAATCTCAACTTTTAATATTTCAGTATGGTGTGTTTAAAAACTTTAAGCAATTGGAGCTTTTAAGTGGAAATATAGTAGGTGGTTTTCCTAAACTCTTCTATATTTTTTGTTTTGAAATGAGTAAAGAAAACCTTTATTTTTCAGTTTGTAATTCAGAGATCAAAAAAAAAATTCTGTGATAACAAATATTTACAAAATCATGTAATAATGGAACCCATTAAGAAATATATAGGATTCAATGACCAGAATATGACTAGAAGGTTTATGAAACAATATTAAACAAATAAAAAGTAAACACAAAACTATGGGAAGTACACTGAATACCAAGTCATACCAAACTGGTGTCCAGATCCCCAGGAGACAAACTTATTTCATCTGGAGAGGTGACGGAAGAACGTGTAGTCCTTGGAGTTCTTGGAGAAGGGAGCGTGTCCCAGGCATTACACCCACTTGGTGGTGGAGTTGGCATTTGCACACCTGATCGTTGGCAGCAATTCTCTGGGTTGGACATCCAAGCTTCAAGTAATTTCTCCCTGTCCCAATCTTTAAGAAAAATGGAATGGTTATCTCTCAAAAACCAAAAAAACAACCCAGAAAATTGGTGTTTTAAGAGCTTCATAATAACAAAGGAAAAGTGAGGACAAATTAAAGATATAGGTCATCCAAGGAAAAAATATTTATATAAAGTAATAATTGAAAATAGAATATTCAGGTATGTTTACTCATTAATATTTTTAAAACAGAATTTAAACTTTTATAATCTACTATGAATTATAATCATGTCTACAATAATTCAGTCAAAACTTCTAGTCATTTCTACTAATAATCAAAAGAAGTGGCTCACCTCTTTTGGAATTTACTAAATTTCTTTTTGCAAGTTAGCTGTTTTACTCTTTCAAGAAAAATATGTAATTTTGCAATTAGCTTCACTGGTATCAAGTTGTAAAATTATTGCACTATAAACATGTCAAAATGCCAATAATACCTAAAAATCTATACTAATAAAAGCTTAGGTGGCCCTAATGCCCTTGAATCATCACAAGATGGCTGGCCCCCACATCTTCACAAGATGGCTGAGAGGGGAGGGCAATTAGGGGTGACCAAGCCGGAAGGGGAGGGCAGTTGGGGTAATCAGGCCTGCAGGGCAACAGTTAGGCGTCAATCAGGCCAGGAGGGGAGCAAATAGAGGGCAATCAGGCTGACAGGCAGAAGTGGTTTGGGGCTATCAGGCGGGTGAGTGGTTAGGAGCCAGCAATCCTGGATTGTGAGAGGGATGTCCTACTGCCAGTTTACAGACAGACATCTCCTAGGGGTCCCAGATTGGAGTGGGTGCAGGCTAGGCTGAGGGACACTCCCCACCTCTGCCCCGTGCATGAATTTTGTGCACCAGGCCTCTAGTCATTTAATAAAAAGCTTGAAAGCAGAAGGAACTTCTGAAGGGATTATGGTTAAAAATAAAATTTTAGTGAATTAGGTATAAATTCTGTAGTAAATGAGCTCCAATCTGGCTTACCTAAAAAATATTATCTTCATACTTACTATGAACACTTTAAAAACAACCAAATGAAGCACCTTATTATAAAGTCCAGAGCCATGAAATCCTAACTCTTTAAAATAATAAAATAAAATATTCAATTATTTTGCTAGGTATTTTACCCACATTATTTAATTTATTCTTCACAATAAACTTTTCAATCACTATTGAGGTGAAGAAACGAATACTCAGAGAAGTTATATAACCTATCAAGGCTCACAAAGATAGTAAGGGATTATTTAACTGATTTCTGTGACTCCAAGTGTAGCACAACGAAGTGTAGGGTCAAGAGTGGTACAGACTCAATTATTTACTGTAGGCTCATTCTCTATGGAAATTTTCTATATAAGACTGTTTTTGACCATGTATTTGTTTGATTAATCAGGATAATTATGACTCAGACATGTCAATGTATTTGGTGGTTTAAACAGGATAATTACGACTCAGACATGCAATGAAGATAGAGGGAATGCATTTCCGCCTGTATAAACCATATGTGAAAAAGCACAGAAGTATAATGGAGACAGATGTGTGGTTCTGTAAAATTATACTATATTATGTGGTGGCCTGGGGAGATGAAAAATAAGACTAGAAAAAGGGACCAGAGTACAAAAAGTAAAAAAAAAAATACAACAATTGAAAAATACTGCACATGAGTACAATCTAGGAAATGTTGCTAAATGGACCTCAGTGTTTTGATAAGTCTTACTTAAAAAGTTAAAATTACTTTTCTTAGAAGAGTATGATTACTTTTCAAAAGTCTCCATTATGTCACTATAATAAAGGAAAAAATAATTACTATAATTACAAATATGGCAAACTTTAGTTTTATCTACTACAAATATTTTTCAGTAAAATATGTTTGGATTCTATCACATCATTTATGTAACAAATATTTATTCAATGCCTTTTATGTGCCATGCATTGTGTCAGACAGTAGAAATACAATGGAAGGAAAAACCACGCACAATTCCTGCCTTATCCTATATAATAAATGACTAATATGCAAATAGACCGAACGGTGGAACAACCAAACAACTGGTCGCTATGACCTGTGCTGACCACTAGGGGCATGCAGGGGACATGGTGGGTGTCAGGGCGGTGGGATGGTAGAGCACGTAAGCATGGGTGCCAGACCAAGGCAGGGTGCTGATTGCTGTCATCAGGGCAAGCCTCTGGTGGTTACTGAAAATTCTTTGCTCCTGTATGCCGTGGTCCTGCCTGGTGCTTGTACCTGCTGCTGGTGCCAGGCCGGCTAGTACCCACTGCCAGCACTAGAGCAGTTGCTCATACCTGCTGCGGGCGCCCAGTGCTGGTCCTAATTGCTTGGTGCCGTCAGTGGGTGCAAGCAGCAGCTTCTGGCCTGATCGCTCTGAGGGCTTCTCCACCTCCCCATGCTCCTGAGGGGAGATCGGGGCAGCAGCTGCTACTCACACCCACTGCTGGCGCCGACCCCAATAGCTCCATACTGTTAATGAGTGCGAGTGGGGCCAGTGCCGGGAGGGCTGCCAGCAGACAGGGGAGGGGGCCATGGCAGGAGGGACTGGGTGGGGGTGCAGAGGATGGGCCAAACCCACCCCTGCACCCACTGCAGCCTTGTGGCCCACAGATCCTTTCAAGATGCATGAATTCGTGAGCTGGGCCCCTAGTCTATAATAAAAGCATAATATGCTAATTAGACCTGTCAGCTGAATGACCTTTTGGATGACCTTTCGGACGAAGCCCTGGTGGTGGGGGGCGAAGCAGAGATGGTTAGGGGCGATCAAGCAGGCAGGCGAGCAGTTAGGGGAGATCAGGCAGGCAGGTGAGTGGTCAGGGGCAGTAAGGCAGGCAGGCAGAGGGAGTCAGGGGCAATCAGGCAGGAAGGTGAATAATTAGGGGCAATCAGGCAGAGTGGTTAGGAGCCAGCGGTCCTGGACTGTGAGAGGGTGCAGGGCTAAGGGACCCCCAAGCCCATGCGCAAATTTCATGCACTGGGCCTCTACTAGTTTAATAAGGAGAAAGACCTTAAGGAAAATCAACACATTTAATAAACAATCATCAATGTCTGAAGAGACATGAAGAAGAGAGAGGTAGAGGATCCAGTCAGAGAAGTCAGATAAGGTGACTGGGAAAATGGCTTGGAGAGACATCTGAAGGATAAGTAGGATTTACCTAGGTAAAAGGTAGAGGGGAAGACATCCTGAACAGATGATAGTGTGTTCAAAGACTTTGTGGCAGAAGGGAAGGTGGCAACCTCACAAAATTAAAAAGATCAATGTAACTGCAGCATGGAGACTAGAGGGGAAGCACTGTGTGAGATGAGGCTGAAGAAACAGGGGCTGGCTATGCAGGACTTCCTTTAATAACATTGCTATTATTAGTTTAGTAGTGATAGGAAGTCAGTGAAAAGTAGGGTGTGGAGTTAGGAAAGACAGGTTTTCATGAATGCATTTGAAAAGATCAGTCTGACTACAGTAGGGAAAACAAAGAAACAAATGAAGAAATTGGATAGAGCAAAATTGGAGGGAAGGTTGAGCAGGCTATTGGGTAGTATAAGTGAAAGATGATGGCAGCTGGAGCTAGGTGGTTGGTTGTAGTGTGGAAGAAGATAAAGGCAGAAGTTTACAATTTGAGAGGTGAAACTGACAACTTGGTGAAAACAGGATATTGCGTCTAAAGGAGAGGAAATGTCAAAGTTAGTGTCCAGGTTTACCCAATTGGTTGGTTGGTACTGCCAAATATGTAAATAGGGTTACCAGAGAATCAGGCAGAGCATTTATTTCTCCTACATTTATTTCTCCATGCTCTTTCCTTTTTCTGACTGTCTGGCTGGAATGGAAATAATCCCCAGAATGAAGCTTGGAAATCACTTTGTATAAGACAGCAAAGTCTCAATCAATTAAGGTTCCTGAATAAATGTGTGAACAAAATCCCTTTCCCACTTCTAACCATGAAGAGAAACACTTTTGATTATTATATGATTAATAAATGTTTACTGTGTTTGAGTTTATACTTTTCTTTCAACAGTTAGCCTACCCTAACTAATGCAACTGTCATGTCATGGCTCCCCACTAATGGACTGCTTCCACTTTTCTGCCAGATTTATAGTATATTTAAATGTACCCTCTATAATTAAAAGCTCAAGGATATACTTTCTCGTGCTGGGAAACTTATGCTAAAGAAACACAACTTAAGATAGTCTGTGCTTCTGTAGCAGTTTTTATATAATGACTGTTAAGCATTATTACTGGCTAAAAAGAAAATATTTTATCTTTAACTTTTATTATTTTAAAAGCTATTCTGAATTTCATGTTTGGCCCTGGTTTAAATTTGTTTCCAAATGATTTACTTCAAGTTTAGAAAGATGACAATGAAGAAATGTAATTTTATAATAAAAAGGTGAATTTAAAAAATATATATAAATAACACTTCAGCTATATTGTCTACTTATTCTATTATTATTTCTGAGGATTTAATCTATGTCAGATATTATAGAAATGAACAAAGAAAAACAATGACAGCTGCCTTCTAAGAGCTCCCAGGTTAATACAGAGGAAAAGCAAATAGATTATCACAATATTCTATTCTAAGTGTATGGCTTTGATATGCACAGGATATAATGGGAATAGACAGGAAGGATCTCAAAGCAGACATGGGACCAAAAGAGAAGAAAAGGTTTCCTGGAAGAGGTGACTTCTAACGACAAGTAAGAGTGGGAAAGAAAAAAGTGGTGCCTGGCTGGCGAGGCTCAGTGGTTGAGCATGAACCTATGAATCAGGAGGTCATTGTTTGATTCCCAGTCAGGACATATATCCAGGTTGCGGGCTCTATCCCCAGATGGGGGAAGGGGGACATGCAGGAGGCAGCCCCACAATGCCATCATTGATTCATTGATGTTTCTATCTCTCTCTCCCTCTCTCTTCCTCTCTGAAATAAAAAAAGAGATACTAAAAATAAAAAGAAGCAGGAAGATTGATAGCCTCAGTAAAGAAACCTATGTCATGAAGAAGATCTACTAGAGAGTCTGGATGATTTTAAGTCTGTGGAAAGCCAGTGAAGGGTTTTTCAGCAGGGGAGTAAGATGCTCAAATGTGCATTAAAAATTTTTTTAAAAAAGTCTAATGGCAAAGAAAGAGGAAAGGAAACACTGGAAACCTGGACTCAGGAGACTACAGTTAAATGAAAAATAATGACAGCCTGAATTTAAGTTGGTGGCAGTGGTAGAATCAGCTAGGGAGGGTCGGAGGAGGATCAGAGACATTTAGGGAAGAGAAATAAGACTGTGGCCAAATATAATAGAAATGGAGGAGTCAAATATGACTTTCAAGTTTTTGGCTACAGTAATTAGATAAATGCTGGTGCCCATGTATTAAGACAATGGGAAAAATGATGAGTTCAGGGTAAACATCTTGAGAATGAGAAAATGTTAAATAGACAGAAATACAGTCTTGAATACTTAATCAAATCAGGTTGTAGATATATTCTTTACTGTTCAGATGTTATTTGAAATCTTTGGTTTCATTAGATAAATGTACATAGCAATGTAGGCTTGTTTACAACACACTTTTTTATGCCCTACCCTCACCTAATGACTTGGACTCTCAAGAATTAATCCTAAGAACCTCTGGTTAGTTTCCCAGGAAATTCTTATTTACTCTAAAATTTGACAGTTGCTGGTTATAAAGTAAAAACGAGTGTCAAGTACAGTACTCCAGGAAATATCAGTATTAAAGGTAACAATTCTGGAGGGTTATATACCAAATTATTCATGGTGGTGATCAAAAAATAATGAAACATGAAGTTTAAATTTTCTTCTGATCAAATGATTATATCAAAAAATTTTGAAGTTAACAGTCTATTTTAGTATAAATTAATTTACAGTTAAGCCGAAACCAGTTTGGCTCAATGGATAGAGCGTCGGCCTGTGGACTGAAAGGTCCCAAGTTCGATTCCGGTCAAGGGCATGTACCTTGGTTGTGGGCACATCCCCAATAGGGGATGTGCAAGAGGCAGCTGATCAATGTTTCTCATCGATGTTTCTAACTCTCTATCCCTCTCTGTAAAAAATCAATAATATATATATTTTTTAAAATTTATAGTTAAAATTGTCTTTGAAACCAAGCACAATGTTAAATATCAAATGTGCAAAGAAAGTGTCCATATATCCAGCTCAGCATGTGACAACTCCCAGAATGGCTATGCTAAGTGTCAAGCTGAGTACTTTTCCTAAGTAAAATGAGTAATTCCTTCAAAACAAACCTTAAGAGGGGATAGTATATTCTCCCATTGACTCTACAATTTTGCTTTGCGCTTTTCATGGTGAGAAACAGTTTTTATATAAAATAAAGTGATAATAGCAATAACACAATTGTTAAGTATTTAATTGACAAGTAAAACCTGGACTGTGACTATGGATTGCAATGCTCAAAACTGCTCAAATCAGTTACATTTCTAAAATTAGACAAACTATAGGGTTTAGTAGCTTGATTCTTAAATAGAAATTTCCCATTTTTCCTCTGTGATTTACAGCCAGTTTGTACTTCAAAACACAAAATATTATAAAGATGCTAGGTACTGTAATCACTGCCCAAAGATCAACTCAGGCTTGTTTAACAAACTATTATTTTAAAATAGCCATATTTTAACTCTGAAAAGCTTTAAAAGGCACCCATATGATTAGAAGTACGATGTGTTTCATTACCATGAGCTCGAAGTAAAGCTTCCGCAGTAAACAATGGAGCCTGGAGCATGTCTGCAGTTTCCACAATAAGCATATCCTTCAATCTTCGAAGATCCTGAGGCCTTAATCCTTCATATGGCTTTGAAAAGAAGGAAAACAAAATTAAATTGTCCATTATACTCTTAGGAAGTTCAAAATGCCTATAAACAAAAGATTATTATTTATTTGATCTTTCAGTTTCAGTTTGGTTATGGAAGTTCAAAAGGTTCTGTATGCTCCACTATCATGGACTTCAAACTACTCTTTCTCAGGTCTTTTTAAACTGAAAAATGAATGCCAGGGATCATGCATCTTAGTATCATACTATAATGACAAGACCATTTTGAAAATTTGGATAATACAAAAAAGAATAAAAAAAACACATCGAGCAATCATGATTGAAGTTCTCAAGTATTTTTATCTAGTTTTGTTGCGAACCAATTATAAATATGTGTTAATTTGAGCAGTTTTAATCACGAAACCACAAAACATGTTTAAGAACCGATTTACACTGCTAGTGGGATTATATAATATCTATTAATTAGTTTGGAGAGAAGTAACTAATCTATACTATTCAAACTTTTTACCGATAAATACATTAGTTCAATATGTTTATTCTAGTGTTCATGAATGTTCCCTAGTTTTCATATAGGTGTTATATTATCTCAGGTTTTTTTGCTATCTTTTATCTTTTTTGTTATTGTTTTAACAGAGAATATATAAAGAATAAAATCACATATCAAACTATTCAATTATTGACAACATTGTTTCTTATTTAAGTTACTTTAAAAACAAAATGAAACAAAAGAAGCAAAACCTCATAATCTGTGAAATGTTAGCCTTTACACTTCCCTAATTTCCCTCATCCTTGTCTGTGACAATCACTACCATGAATTTGATTGATAGCTGCCAAAATATTATGGCATAACATTATATATATAAAAGCAATCTGCTTTTCTTAATTTTATTGTGTTTGCATTATTAATACTGATATACATATCTATTTCAATCCTTTAAATAGTTTTAAGCATGCTGCGTGCAATATGCATAGAACTGAAGCATAGTAAGTTTTTTGTGTAAAAACTGCTGTTTGAAATTTTAACCTGCTATTTTGGCTTCTGTAAACACTTGCTTACTTAAATAATAGGGGAAAGTAAGACTACTCCCATTCCAGAGAGGCCATAAACTATGCCCCAGACAGAGTTGTTAGTGCTGGTGTCAGGCGAGGCCTTGAGATATGGTCTCATGGCCCCATCCCAAAACACAGGCCTTCTTTCTCAGAAGGTCTGGAAGTCTAGTCCCAAATTTGAAAGACAATGAGCTTAAAAAGTATAAATAGGAAAGACTTCTACCAAGTTGGAGCCCAGAATTTGACATAGATATTCTACTCTGAGCCGCTAGCGCTACCCTAGTAAAAAAAATTCCAAATTAATTTGGCTTATTAAGGCATCTCATGTCAGCTCACTGATTTACAACATAACAGAACTAAAAGCCACAGCTTAAAAAGCAATAAAATTACCAAGTACTTATCAGAATAACAACCATTGAGGATGTCCTCTGGTAGCATCTATCACAGTCTCCATTGTGATTGGTAGCAAAACACACCCATTGTAGTTGACTTACAGATATTTTAAAATTAGATATTATCTTTATTTCTTGCTTTGTTTTTTTTTTGTAAATCATTTCATGTAAATCATTTCATCAATTCTCAGTTAATCCTGTATGAGTGGGACTCTATTAACCAGGAATAATTTCTCAGTTGACATGTTTATTTTCTTTCTTTTAAAAAAATTCTTTATTGTTGAAATATTACATATGTCCCTTTTGCCCCACAGACTAGGCATTCACTCCTGTTTCTTGCTCCTTACATATCTTCTGCCAGGAACACATATATAGGCAATGCATGTATTAATGACAGAAAAGAGTAAGAGACTTAACTGTATAAATATCTGCCAAGTTTTAAACATAAAAATTGCATTACTTTTAAATTTAGCAAAGTGTCTACGGCCAATAAAGGAATATACTCAATATTGGAAAGGTTTCAGTGAGATGGCCCTCTGATACCTTGTGGGTAAAAATAAAAATTGGTATATCATTTAACAACCAAGCGTGTATTATGAATCTTTAAACCAATTATCTTTGACCAAGAAATTTGTAGAAATCTATCCTAAAGTATAATCATAAATGTGGGGAAAATTGTCGTCATTTGCAATGTTTGTTATAAAAATGACAAAATGTAAGTAACCTAAGTGTATATTAAAGGAGATATAGGACATTTACAAGTTAGAATAGTCTGCAGTCATTCAAAATGATTGGCATGATGAATATGTAAATATTAAGAAAGGTTAAGAAAATCTTTGCCTAGGTAGCTTCAGTTGGTTACATCATCATCATCCCATACGCAAGGTTTTGGGTTCAATCCCCACTCAGGGAACATATAAGAAACAACCAATGAATGTATAAATAAGTGGAACAACAAATTGATGTTTCTCTCTCTCTCTCTCTCTCTCTCTTCCTGCCCCCCCAAATCAATAATAATAAAAATAAAAATGCTAATGAGGAAAAAAACTGTAAGATATAAAATATCACTCCAGTTATGAAAAATGGAAGATAATCCTGCACAATGTTACAAGGATTATTTATAAGTAGTAGAACAATAAACATTTCATTCTGCTTTTTATGCAGAACATGTTTTGTGGGGAAAAAATAATTAAAAAATAAAAGATAAATCACTGGAGATGTTAGAACTTTCAACAGTGGCAGAGCACACACTCAGTTTGCATTGCTATTCCTTTTAAAAATAGTGAAAACTAATGCTAAATACATTTCGTATGACAATTAATTGTCTACTGTATCTATGTATGCATTCACATATACTGCTATGAACCTCTACGTATACAGATATCATATGAACATAACAAGAAAATTTAACCTATTCTTTATAGGGGTACCATTAACTCTAAAAGAAAAAAAATTGCAAGTAAATCCAAACCATCGTTTGAAAAGCTCCTCAAATCATCATGTACAGATAACTTGTGAATCACACATTCCCTTGCAAAAACCTAACAAGTCCTTTTATGGTTAAACTAGAGGCCCTCAGCCTGCCCTGCTCCCTCTCACAGTTGGGGAGCCCTCAGGGATGGGAGGTGACCCAGTGATCAGGGGAAGGTGATGCCCCATCAAACCTCTGCTGCTGCCACTTCTGGCAGCACAAGCCTCAGCTGGCCCTGGTTATCTGAGCCTTGGGTGGCCCTGGGTGGCTGGGCAGCCGCATTCAGAGGCTTACCTGAACCTCAGGTTGGCCCTGGGTGCCGCCATCTTGTGGCTGTGGGGGCTGCCATCTTTGAGGTGGGGCAGTCAATTAGCATATTCCCTCCTTTTTGGCTGTGGGTGCTTGCATCTTTGTGATGGTGTGAGGGTCAGTTAGCATATTCCCTCTATTAGATAGGATTTGTAGTACTCATTCCAGGCTAGAAATTATACATTATGTATATCATTGCTTCTAAAAAATGGAGTTCCAAATTCCCAGGTACCTCTCTTAAATTAGCAGAGGGTGAATATTTCTTGGTATTTCTAGTGGTGGCAATTGTGTACTTCCTGGTATTTTGTTAAAAAAAAATTTTTTTTTCCAGAATAGTCATCCTTCTACCTCATTTATGTTGAGCAAAATAAGATTTAACTTTAGAAATATTAACGAAGTGATAATAAAAAGCAATCTGCATAAAGTTTCTTTAAAATGCAGTTTTAAAATCTTAAATAGGTTACACTAGAAGAAAAATAGTTCTTGAAGGAGAAAGACATGCTGCCTTCATGAGTATGTAAGATATTCACTCTGAATCTCTGCAACAGAACTATAATTAGGTCATGTGAAGCATTTCAATACATTGCTCAGTCCCAAGTGGGCACCAGTCCTTGCTTCTGCAGGAAGGATTAAAATGAAGGTGCCTTTCTCTTTCCTGTTGCAAAGACAAACTGCTTCTATTTTCAGATTAAACACAAATAACCTTCAAAGCAGTTAGTCCTGATACAAAGAAGGAAAAAGAAAACTAATTTAAAAAGAGTATGAAAATGACTTTTTGTTTGTTTTTAAGTATGTTTTTAAAAAACTGATTTTAGAGAGAAAGGGAGAGGAACAGAGAGAGAGAAACATCAGTGGGCTGCCTCCTGTATGACCCCTACTGGGGATCAAGCCTGCAACCCAGGCATGTGCCCTGAGAATCAAAGCGGTGACCTCATGCTTCATGGCTTGACACTCAATCACTGAGCCACACCAACTGGGCTGAAAGTGTCTCTTTTGCATCTGTACAAACTATTGCTATAAAAATATCGCCAAAGAAATGCAAAACAGCCCAACATACAAACTAAACCACTTTGATACAATGTATAAAGTGATAGTACCTTCAAAATATAACCTAATAATAGAGTACCTTCAAAATATAACCTAATAGAGTAATACGCAAATTAACCATCACTCAGCCACACAAGCCACACCCCCAACCAGAGTATGCAAATTAACAACAAAGATGGCGGTTAATTTGCATACACAAAGGAAGAGAGGAGTGAAGACTGAAGACAGCATAGAAGGAAGAGGGAGGGGAAGTGGAAAGCAAGGCGGCTGTGGCTGCTGGAGGGAAAGCACTGGCAGTGCGTGTGGAGCGGGGAAAGGCGTGCAGCTGCAGAGACAATGGAGGAGGTGACTGTGGGCTCGGTGGGGTGGGCAGGTCCCGCCCATCCTGCCCTGCTTGCTTTAGGTATGTGTGGGGGGACAGGAGAGGCGGAGGCTTTAGGCTTGGGGAGGGACTGAGCTTGGGATTGGAAGGAAGGGGAAAATATCAATGGAAACACATCCTCAGGTGAGGATAAAAAGAAAAATAAAGAAATGTCATATCCGACCTAACTGGTTTGGCTCATTGGCTAGAGTATCGGCCTGCAGACTCAAGGGTCCCAGGTTTGATTCTGGTCAAGGGCATGTACCAGTAGGGGGTGTGCAGGAGGCAGCTGATTGATGTTTCTCTCTCATAGATGTTTCTAATTCTCTCTCTTCCTTCCTCTCTGTAAAAAAAAAAATTCAATAAAATATATCTTTAAAAAAGAAAAAGA